GAGAGAGAGAGAGAGAGAGAGAGAGAGAGAGAGAGAGAGAGAGAGGGGGGGAGGAGAGAGAATGACGGAGAGAAAGCAAACAGGAGAGAGAGAGAGAGAGAGAGAGAGAGTGAGAGAGGGAGGGAAAGGGAGAGACGCGGGGATGCTTGGTGGAACAGGGGGTATTATAGAGACGGGAGATACGGGGTGAGATCAATACGGGGTCGCTAGGCAACGAGCCTCCGGCGATCTTGGTCCGGGTAGACAGGGTGCCGCCAAGCAAGCCGCTGTAGCCGCCCCGCCACCCCCGCGGCGGCTCAACCCCACCCTCCGTCCGACCCACCCCCACTTCCCCATCCCCGAAAGCGCCCATATTCCACATAATAAATACCGGCAACTGTGCAACACGGCGCGCGGGATAACACGAGGCGAAGCGCCGGCGAAAATGATGCTCGTCGGCGACGAGGATGACGCGAGAGGAGACCTACGAGAGTTCGACGAGAATTTCTGCCGTATTAATTAACGGGCGGCCGTCACGGCACTTTCGCCGATTTCTCTTTCGCGATGTTGTTTAACGATAGAACCTGTTTACGGACTGTTCGCGTAGCAATTTTGGGGGCAACATTGTTCTCTTTCATGCAAAATTCTTGGATTTAAGAATTAATCCGAGATTTGATACTTTATGTGTCTAAATGATATTTATAGGCGGAAGGCATTATTTTAATTTATTTTACGCGCGGGTTATTGTTTGTTACGAAAATGATACTGTTTGTAGATCATTTGCATAAAGTTTTAGTTTTTCGAGCGACATTTTCATATAGAGATATTTTTCTGTTATAAAAAACAACGTTGTACAAAATATGTTTTACGTGCTTTAAATAAATAATTAATGCAAGTTTCATTTACTCGTGATCATTATTTGTACCTTTGCTCGCTTGTTTACTACGTTACGTAAAAGGCAGGACATGTGCGTATTATGAGACAGAAATCGCATCGTTTTCGAATCACCAAACGTTTAAAAAAAAACCGCGGATAAGTTTATACTTGTGTATTTTTATTCAATCGCACGAATCCTAAGAACTTTGCATTGAAGAGAAATTACTCATCGCTCAGATCTTTTGAAATAAATTTACTCTGGTCTCTAAAGAGAGCCAACTAAATATTCTCCGTTAAAAGTTCGAGAAATCACTGAAGAAAGTAAATTACGGCGACGTATATTTTCTAAAGCGAGTTCATTAAAGTGTCCCAGGACTATTACGTCTACCAAGAGACCGTCCCATGCTACTCTGATAGTTGGCACAGCATCGCGGTGCCACGCAGGATCCAGTGCTCCGGCGGATGCGACGTCGGTAGCCAAATCGCGATGACGAAATTGGTTGAATGGCCGGTGGTCGACAGCACGCCCTTCCGCTCGCTGGTCTTGTACACCGGACACGTGTACGTGTCCTTATCCTGCACCTGCTCCTTCGTCACCGGCATCAGCCAAATCTGAAAGCGTAACGCATGGGAGTAATTCAACGCGCGTCCTCCGAAGAGGCGCTTTCAGAGGTTGACATTTAAAGCCCCGTTGCTCGATTAAGAGTTCGAACAGCCAAGCAAAGCGTGTTGCATTTTTGGAAAAGTTCCAGAAAAGGTCTCTCGCGGGAAGCTGCGCCCTTTCGCGGAAGGATTCGTGAATTATTTGAGCATCGCTTGAAAAGCATCGAATTTAGTCGAAGAGATTCTTAAGCTTTGTTTTGTGTTGACTCACGTAAGGCACGGTATCGTAAAGGATCTTCGGGAAAGAATCGCCGAGCTGCATTGTGGTCATATTGAAGCGCGCTCCGTCAAGAAATAACCCGTAAATGTATACTCCGTCGACCGGCGGCTTTTCGAAAACGGTGTCCTTCAACGGGATGAAGTCGTAGACCAATAAATCGATGGGAATGGAATACTTTCTTGCGTAATTCTGACGGGCACCGGTGAGGAACGCCTGCGTGAAGTAGAAACCGGAAATCCAGAAAGACGTGGGAGGTCCTTTCGCGTACCAAGCCTGAAAGAAGTTGTTCAGTTCAATTGCTATATAAGGTTAGCTGCCTACCAAAGACGAAGTAAAACCAAATGCTCAAAGTATCAGAACGCACCGGACAAAACAGGCTTCAAGCCTAATACACGAGGAAGAAGAAGATTTTTGCGCTATATAAATAAGCCTGATTTAGTGCGAAATGTGTACGGTTTCGTTTCAATTGATATAACAAAATAATAAATTCTACATAAATTAATCTATGCGAATGTCACATTGTGAATATAACAAAGACAATTGGTATAATTTGATCAAGAAGCCGTGGTCTTAAAAACTGTGGTTCGAAGACGCAATTTAAGACGACGTTTAATTTTTTCGACGGAACAAAATAATTCGAAATACAATCTATGTTTCCTTAATTTCACCTGGAGGAAGTTCAGCCTCTTCAGAAAATCGTGTATGTAACTGCCGAGCGGCTTCAGAGAAGGGTAAGAATCCCTCATCCACATTTTGGATATCCTGCCGATGATGATCGACGAGTAGACCTCCTCGAGGTCGAGACTCATTATCACCAGGCCTGGAAAGGGGTATGAGTAGAATTCAGGAGCATAAGACACTCGCAAAGCGTAAGGGCTTGTTCGTTCTTTACCCTTGATCGCCTTCTGGACGTTCACGAGGCTGCCCCGGATGGTCCGCAGGAGTTTGTTGAATCTGCCCATCTCCTGGACCAGCACGGTGTTCATGCTTTGCTCGTACAGCGTGGGATACCTGTCCAGAGCGGCCACCAGATCGTAGTCCTGCGGCAATCTCGACAGGATGTCGGACGCGACGCCGTAGACGGTCTCGTCCGGCGATCTCTCGGCGTACACTTCCGCCTGGCCGGTGTCCTGACGAAAATCCGAAAATTTTCTTAATGGAGAACTCGTAAACTCTTGACGAAGCCGCCGCATCGAGCGATTTTAATTCCGCTATCTTACAGCCAAGTAAGCTTTGTTTAATCATTCAACTTAAATTGAAGAACGAAGACTCGACGCAAAGTTTAATACCGTTTCGCAATCTTAATAGATGTTGCGATATTTAAGAAATCTTTCTTTGTATTATATTATTTTTCATACATCTCTGAATCCAGCTTCAGTTTCTTACCGTTGCAAGTGACAGCGTCATGCGTTTTCGTCAAGTATAATAAAATATTCTTTTTTATAGCTAGACAATTTTTCTGGCATCAGTTCTATATTTAGTAGTGCATTTGAGGATTTGAGGATTGCAATGATAAGTAAGAATTACCGTCTTTCTCGATTTTTCTCCTTGACGCTAACCGCGTGAAAATTAAACGACATCGTTATTTCAGTCATTTCAACTTTTCATAAAGGCTTTCTCAAGTAAATATTACTTTCAGCTCCTCTCAATATTCTGGGCAAAGATGGAAAGATAATAGAAATTCTCATTATTCCACCGTATTGGAGGAATCGGGACATTAAACGAAGATAAGAAAAAAAAAATCAATAAATTATACGAGAGTGGATATCGTTCACCTTATTGCTTCACCTTATTGTTCGAAACTTTAATTCTTATGCAACACCAGTTACGGAACAATTACATAAGTTTTATACGCCTGTTGTTGAAAGTGCAATATTAAGTTCCAAAAACAATTTAAAAGAGCTGGCAATTAACAATAAGAAATAATATAAGAAAAACGTTTAATTTTCACGACAGTTAAAATAGCTCGATATAATCCATTTTCTCTTCATTTTACCTGGAGAAAGCCGCTTCAGAAAATCACGTAACCAGCTAAGTACTTGCTTCACACCTCCGCGCTTTTCAATAATCTGTATTTTATCTCAAACCGACCGGAACATGCGCATGATAAATCCGCATGATAAGAAGTAGAAACGGAACATAGCAATCAATCTCGATGCTGGGTTTATTACCTGAGTGGTCAGGATGGAGGACAGCATCAAGTAGCTCTCCTGCTGATCCTTAATGATGTCGGCGTTGTCGTGCATGCCGAAGACGCTGGGCGCGGTGGTCATCGGCAATTCTCTCACGTAATCCAAGAATTGACTGTACTCACTGACCAGCGGTACGTAATAAAGGCCGCTGGGATCGAACAGATATTTCCGATCAGCCACGACCACGTCCTCGTGATAGAATCGCGTCAGGATCGTGTTCAGGGTCCGTCGGTCCCACTCGTCGGTCACGCGACCACCGTAATTGCATTCGCCTTGAAAAAAAAGAGATTAAAAACACGCCAACGAAAACTTGTTGCTTATCTTGTGGCTTTATATCCAATGCTTCGGGCATCCTTTTTCACAACATGTTATTTCTAATTCCTCGTTTGTAACGTTATTAAAAGTTTTTGTAATTTGTAGTATGTATAAAAAATTTGTAATATATAAAGCGCACAAATTAAAAATTTATAAACACTTTATATAAATATCTCCTTTATTTATTTATTTCTTATTTTTACGTGAGATCACTGTGGACATGTGTTTTTAATCAAGTCCCATTATTAACGTTAGCTGAATTTTCACCTTAAGTCCGAATCTAAAAATGTGTTAACGATCGCTATCTATTTTTATATCTATTTTCTTATGCAAAGGCTTTATTCGCGCACGCAGTTGCGTATAAATAAGAGTTTAGAGAGAAGCAACGTGCGAGAAGTTACTTTTTTCAGAGTGACTACGCGGAAAAAAGAATGATGTCAACAAGATCAGTGTAATTGAAAGACAATTGTTAAAACAACATCAGTATTAATAAATGAAAAACATCAGATTGTTGTGTTAATAATCTAGATATTTAGTTCAATGTTTAAAATTAAAATCCATAGCAAATACAATTGAGTGAATTATTTATGTTTGTGGCAGCCCGTGACGTTAAGGTTTAATTCAAGCAACTTCATTTTGCTTAATTTAATAGCATTTTTTTTTCGGTGTATAAGCAATTTAATTCGGATACCTGTCAGGTATTTCAATGCGGTGAACTGAACGTCGTCGTACTGGTCGAGTAGGATCTTGAGCTGCAGCACGCTGATACGTAAATCCGTCTCGTTGAACTCGTACTGATTGTTCCAGCCGATCGGCCCGAACTTCCGTCGCTCCTGCACGATACCGTGAAAGAAGCAGAGCGAGAAGAGCAGCCGCTTGAAGGTCGACCGCTGCTTCGAGGTGTCGAAGAAGTCGGGATCGCATATCGGGTCCTGCCGCGAGATTTAACCGATTCTCTTAGAGTCAGTCTCTCCGACTTGGGGTGAGCGAAACGGGATGTTGCATGTACATACCTGGTGGAAAGACCGCAAGATATTCGCGCGCAGTCCTTTGGGAGGCTCGTTCGTCATCTTCACGCCGTTCTGCAGAACGCTGACCGGAAAGTGCTCGACCGGATAACTCGTCAGCCACAGCCGGAAGTCGGGGTGCACCGTTTCCTTTGTGAAGCTCTCGCATATCTAAATGACGGGATAAAAATAATAAGACAGCGAGTAACAAAAGGATCCTCGTTAAGAGATTAAAAAGCGCTGCGTGATGAAAATACATTTTTTAAATACTGCTTTAAAATACTGCTCGAAATTCCAAAGTCAGAAGTAACAAATGTTTGTAATAATCTCACATGTAAATTGAAATAGATCTTGAGCCAAATAATTCCAAAGGTTTTATACACATTTATAAATCGAATTATAGACTTTAAGAAATTTTTATGCTTCCTAAAATTTAAAACTCGAATTTACAATTGTACTTAATAAATGTTTTTACAGGCAATTTTATTTATTTAAATAATATGTAAGAGTTAATTTTTTTCCCATTCTAGGACTGTCAACGAGATTAACGTGTTGTCACTATTTAAATGTACTATGCAATATATTCTATATATGCAATATATTCTAAAAATGTTACTTTAAAATGTACAAATATCTTTGAAAACAAAGACGAAGAGAAACAGTAAATGAATCGCTTTAATTATTGACAACAAAGTCACGAAAAATTTTACGAAATGTACCATTATAAATTTGCTAAAAATTGACAAATTAGTCACTTTGATTGCTTGGGTAGTTTTAATCTCTTTAATCGCGTAATAAATCTGATTTATGCGAATAGTTACTTTTTCCAGAGTCACCATAAAAGTTTTGGCGACGTGGCAATTTTGCAACACCACCCAGGTGCCGTTCTTCACGCCTTCGTCGATAAGACCCTCGGCGATGATTCCTTGACCTTGGCCCAGAGACAAAGAGAACAGCCTGCTGGCGCCGAAGCCCTGATCGTCGGCGAACTTCAATAAGATTGCCATGGGATCCGCGCCGGGTGTCAGGACGAATATCAGCGGGATGCAGGAGTGTGAGTCCGCGAAAGAGGCCGCCAGATCGAAAGGCGGTGGCACAATATACTGATGTCCCAATTGTTCTATCGGACGATGGAAAAATTTAGGCGAGCAAAGTAGCAGCTGACAGTTTCGATTCAACGATTTCGCTCCACGAATTTCGGGCTACGTTATATGCATATCGAGTTTCATAAGGGTAGGCAAATAATGATATAAAAGGATAGTCTTATACGCAGAGGGATCCACTTCCCATTGTCGTAAAGAATTTAATTTCGCCCTTCGCTCGAAATGTACGGCCCGTTCTAGATTCCTCGTCCCGTGCCCTTCATCTGGGTCAATCTATTTTTAGATTTTAGTGGCCTCCTTTCTTTTTTAACAACCTTACCTTCGACGAATAATTGCGCCGCCGGCACTATCTTGTCAGGACGGATGCAACGAAGCACCAGCATCTTTTCGAAGCTGCTTAGTTTATTCCAAGGAGCGGGAAAAATCGAGGTTTGAGGCTCCTTGTGATCGAATGTCTTCTTCCACTCGTCGATATTTCTTGTACACGAGTCTCGTATTCCCTGAACGACAAAGTACAAAGACCGATCTTGTCGCGACAAGTAAAACTCTTCACCTTCTCATAAATTTCCGTAATTAAATTTCTAATGAACCAATACTAGATTAAAGAAATTCCGTTAACTTTCCCGGAGATATTCGACTTTTGCCAACAACTTCTATTAGCTCTCGTGAAAGAATTTGATGCATTTTTTATAGAGCACGTTTGCATTAACGTCGACGAGTTGATTTTTGCGCCATCCCGAGAAAGTTTACCGTGAACCCTGGTACGCTGTCCAATCGGCAAAGCTCGTCCCAGGACCTCGTCGGCAGCCATTCCGTGGGATTGGCGAAGGGATTCTCGAGGCCGACGCCGCCGGTCAGCAGGAACATCCAGTGGGCCATCGAGAGCTGGCCCTGCTTGTTCAGCAAGTTCACGGAGAGCAGGAGCGAGAAGAGCAGCTTGTCCTTCTCGAAGAGCGAGCGGCATATGTTGACGTACAGGGAATAGGTGAAGCACCTGGTGAGGTCCTTCAGGCGCTGCTTTATATCCTCCACTGGTGGCGTGTTGTCGATCGTATTCTTAAAGAGATTGACGAACCAGGCGAGGGAGTACTGATACATCGGATCGATATTCGCCAGCATGGCTGCGAGAAAGATTGAGGAACGACATTGCTTCGATAAATACTGCCTTCCCAAGAAACATTTCTTTTTAATCTTCATCATATTCTTTCTGTACGATTTTTAATGCATTTTAAATATATATCACTCTTAAAAACTGCCGCTTTTTATTCACCATTGGACACGCATATATTATTTCTACTAATTTTAAATATAGATATTATGACAGTTTAAAAAACTAGAGTTCCCGTAAATTAATAGAGTTTGATGGACGCTATTTTTATTATTATATTGTGCTGAGGCTGCATATTCTGCTTTTATATATTTTGTTACAGAATCAGATGATTTGGTTTAAATTAAGCGACTTTTCTACGGACTAGACGCTCGCGCGGTTTGCATTTTCGCTCACCAATTGTGAAGAAGAGAACGGTGCTATACACTGCAATCGGCGTGTACTGCAATCTCGCCGCGTCGATCGACTTCTCGGTAATTTCAGCAGCAGTCTGTTTAGTTTGAATCTCATTGGCCAGACTTTTCGACGAGCTCAACACACCGATAGCAGTTTCATCCTCGAGGATATTCTCCTTGGACGCAGACAGCACTTCCAAGATCTTATTCTCTATCTCCTTTAACATCCTGCAAAGAAACGTTGCGAAATATCGCCCGACGGAGCAACGTATCAAATATTACGAGTTGACAGGGCTCTGCAGAATTAATATTATTTATACAAAAAACTTAATTTTATTAATACATATTTAATTGTTATTAGAAGACTTTCGGCACTTAATGTCATCAATTAAGAATAAAATGCTCGACGACAATTCGCGAATTGCTCGTAATAAATTTCATTCGTCTCATCGATATCAATATATTTGTTAATAATTGTAAAACTGCAAAATAATTGTTTAATCACATAATTTTACGATTTCATTTAACTTTTTACTATTTTTACTATTTAATCAGTATCTTATTTAATATAAGAAGCTAAAAGATAAGAAATAGATATTAAAGTAAGATAGAAAAATTTGTACTGTACTTTTTATTTGCCGCTCCTTGAACTATCAACTGATTTTTCTCGGATTCGAGCTCGGGTCTTTCCTTCGCAACGACTATTCCCAGAAGCTGATCGTCCAGGCCAACCGGAGTGATCATGAAGTTCAACAGAGTCACTTTCACCACTATTTCCGGCAAATAATGTGGATTTCGCAATTTCGTAGTGATGTAAAATCTGTGGAAAAGTACGGACGGAAATTCCTATCGTCAAAGTGTATAAATAAATATCACATACATAAAAGATTCCTGATAAATTAACAAGAATAAGAAAAAGAATTTATATAAAATTCATTCTTCACTGTCAAGCTTCTCATAATTTTAAATTCATTGCCAAACATTATTAATACCAAGTGAAACGACGTAATTTATAAATCACGTTTATACCCGGCGTGCCAGGAATGGAATGAGAAATTCGAGCGGGTCGACGGACTCACCGAAATTTGTCGGAATACTCGATGATGCTATCGCCGATCTTGATGCACAACGCGCCGCCGGACCTGAAAGTCTGCTTCATCAGCAGCGGCTCCAGGGCCGCGTCCAGCTCCTCGCCGATGTTCTCCAACAGCACCGGCTGCCCGAACTGCACGGCGTTCTCCAAAATTCTCATGTAATCCGGCTGCGTCAGTCTGACGACGTGCAAATTCGACGCCTTTTCCATATTCTTCACCCACTTGTTCGCCTGGCCCTGCGGGTCGATCATGAGCGGCCAGCGACGCGAGTTCGTGATGATTATGGCGTTGTCGATAGAGAACAGGTCGCTCGGCAGGCCGAATATGTTCCAGCCGCGGATCAGCACCGGGTCGCCCAGCACCTGCGTGAGCTGGAGGTCCTGGCTGCAGACAACCTTCAGACTGGTGCAGTACTCCACCCAGTCCTCCACCTGCCGCTGCCGATACTGCATCGTGAAAACGCCGAGGTAGGCCACCGCGCCGGAACCGATCAGGATGTCGCCCGTTAACTTGTGGTAGCCTTCCCCGAGCGATCTGTCAGTAACCATGAGATTTCGCGTCACATCGGAGGTTATTTCGGAGTGTGCAAACTGTTGATGAATAAACTAAAAGTAAAAATTATAAAGAAACGAAATAATAACAAGTTATAATTAGAGTGAATAAAAATGGCCTTATGAACCTGCCAGATACTTATTAGCTATTCAAAGTTTAAAATGTTTAAGAAATGAATGTTGAAGCAATAATAGCATAATCTGACCGAACTAATGACTTCTAATCTTTGAAATAATGGAAAAGGAGAAGATGAAAATTTTACAATATATTAAAGTATCATGGAGGCTATGTATTAAATTTTATGATCCTCGAGAAAGACAGAGAGAAAATAAATAATAAAGCGACGAAGTATTGTAAAGTGGCCATTACTTGGCAGTCTCGGACCATCTGGTGTACTCGCCACCGAGGCCGCCGATCAGTTCCTCGGCCCTTCTCAGCTTTTCCTCGCATTCCTTCACCTCGTCGGTCATCGCTTGGTACTCGGCCCTTCGTTGCGCCAACAGGGTTTCTAGCCGAGCCAGTCTCTCCCGCACTTCCTGCAGCTGGTTCCTCTTCAGCGTCAACTGCTCCATCGCCGCGGAGTAGTCGGCCTCGGCCTTCGCCAGGGCCTGCCTCTTCGGCGCCACCACCTTCGCGACCTTGTCGTACTCCGACAGTGCGAACACCCAGCGGCAGAGACCCTCGCAGGCGGTCGACACCTGCCTGATTCGTTCCGGATCGAAGTTCGGATTCGTCAGGATCGTCGTGCGGATCTTGGTCATGATGCGCTCGGGGATGTTGTCCTTGTCGTAGTTCAGTAGCGATTCCAGAAACCGTATGTCGCCCAGAATGCGAAGCGACGGCTTCCAGTAGTCGTCCATCGGACCTTCCGGGCCTTGCACCTTCTCCGGCTTTACGTCCTGCGCGATTTTCAAAGACATTCTTTAGCGAATAGAAGTCAGATCTGATGCAAATTTTGACACATGAATTTGTACATGTCATCGTTGTATTATATAAATTTACATATAATATACGTTACCCATTCGGATATTTTATTATAATTTAATGGTTCATCCAATTAGATTCTATGTAAATATTTATGTAAATACGTATTTCATACATATATTAATATTTACGTGTTATTATTTACATGTATTAATATTTAGATGTTATTACTCGTGCAAGCTGAAAACCAAATATCATTTGACATCGATTAATTTTCTACCAACGAGCAAGATAATTATTTAATACACCTTCAGTATGCAAATAGCTTCCATGACCAATCGCACGCCAGCCGGTGGACGTTTCATGGACTTGACGATCTGAATGTCCTGCGGTGTCAGAGTGTTCAGAGCAGCATTCGCTACGTCAAGTATCGGCATCACTTCCTGAAGATCCGCGTCGCATTCAACGCGAATCTCTTTGGCTTCCGCAGCGACGATCTGACGGTACACAAGTTGTAATTGATCATTAAATCCATCCAATTTATTTAAAATTATTCAACATGAAAAATATTTTTGCAATTAATGAAAATGACGCGGGAACTGATCAATTTCTAACGAACTTCAGATCCGCAATATTAAAAATTAAATTATTCAAATAACAATGGATTAGCTGGCTCGAAAAATTAAGACTGAAAATATAGGACGTAAAGATGGATCAATTTTTCACACATTAAATCTACGCGAAATATCAAAAATTAAATAATTACATTTCATTCTCATTAGTCTTCTTTTATTCTCACTTCATCTTCTTCTATTAAGATTAATAACAACAAGGAAATTAAGAGTACAATAATGGCGATATCAATAATGGAGGCTGTGCAAATGATAAAAAATATTGCAACTGTGAAATCTGTTCTCACCATAGCGGCCTCCTCGTCCTTCTTGACGACTTGCTCCATCTCGCTGGCCTCCTCGCTCTGCCGCTGCACGTCCAGAAACATGCCCTCCACGTCCTTTGCAGCCACGAGCAGCTTCGGCTGAAGAGCCACCAAGATTTGCTGCATCCTGCTGACCTCCTTGCGCGTGCCGTCCAGCCTGCCGAGGCCAGCCTCGTACCTCTTCTTGCCCTGCAGCACCTCCTTTCGTTTCCGATCTAGTAGATCCTTGAACGTGTTGATGAGCTCCAAGTAAGACGTCGGCGTGACGTAATTGTGACGATTCAACCGCCTCAGGAAGTCCCTGGTCAGCTCCTGCGTGGACGTGTGGAAGTACTGGCACATCCCGATGCAGGCACGCCGCTCGTCGCTCGGCATGTCGATCTCGCTCAGGAACTGCGTGGCGACGGCGAGCAGGGCGTCCTCGGGCCAGGGCTGAAGCCAGTCGATGGTGCAGCAGTTCACCAGCGCGGGGAACTTGCGGATCCGGGTGCGAAAGCCGTCGCCGATCGGCGACATCGTCACCACCGCGTGCAGGTGCTCGCGCACCGTCTGCACGAAGAAGTTGAAGAGCGCCACCGGGCTGCCGTCCGTCTGCACGGACCTACACACACAGTTCGCAGAAGTTAATAACAATTATTTTATATTAATTGTTATTTTGAGTACGCAATTAAAACGATAAGATATTACTTCCAACTTTCTGTGTCGTGCAATTGTGAATATTTCTCATGTACCTGACCTTTCTCTGTCATCTTATAACTATTTGATTTTCAATCTTACACAAATTTATTAAACTCAGTGTGTAAAATAGTGATTAATTTCTGTTTCAAACTTTAATCTCGAACCTCCGAATTTATTAATCAGTTTCATGTGTCGTTAATTAATAAAAAAAATTTTTAAATGTGAAAGAGATTGTTTGCACAGTGCGGAAATCGCTCTCTCGGTGTTACTCTAATCTTTCAGTTAAAACGTTTATCAATAAGCTAAAGCCATTCTAAATAAATATTTATTATTTTACACGTGGCAAGTGGTTTGAGAAATCGACGTGAAAAATCATTACAAAAGTCAGTATTGAAAGATTACGTTCTCCACATTTTATGTACATTATTCAAAAGCATTTGCCGTATTTTAATAGTTTGTGAAGAGCGGCAGCGTAATTATTCAACAATTCCGTTCTTATTATACAGATTTAATAAATATACGGACCGCGGCACGAAAGACGTATTAATATTATCGCTAATTAATCACAAATTTAATTATCCGATTTCAATGGAACACTCTATATTCGTGTGAGATAAACCTGTCCCTCTGCCGATCGATGATCCGCATTTTCTCGCAAATCTCGGATTTCTCGTCCGCCGCGAAGAGATTGGGCACCTCGCCGGAGTTGAGGAGGTTGCTGATGTCCTCGAGGAAGGCCTCCTCCTTGATCTGCGTGTCCATGAAGAGGAAGACCGTGTGCAGGTCACTCGCGGCGCTCTTCCGCAGGATGTTCTTCAGGTCCTCGTGCCACTCGTGCATGCCGTACTGCTGAGATATCTGCACCTGGAAGAGCTCATAGTCGGATATATGGGCCGCCAGCTTCGTCAGAGATTGTCGACCTGAACCGCCCATGCCGATCAGAAGAGCGTGGCTGCGCGGCTGCATCATCACCCGGCAGATCTTCGAAAGATGCTCTATCGCGAATCTGAAGACCGAATTAATTCACTGACTCAATCGTCCAACTGCTCGATCTGACGAAATTCATCTCGAGACCTTTAGCAATCGAAAACGTAGAAAAAGAAAACAGATTTTAAGTCGAGATCAATTACAGCGCGTTTTTTAAAGAAAAACTATACCTCATCGATTCGCGATCTCTAAAAATTGGGAAAAATCGGAAAAAATCGGGAATCAATATTAATTATTATTTTACTTCTTAAAGGTTCTCAATGGCGATTAATGTAATCTTCAAGTGTATTGATAACTTCTTTTAATTAATAGAAGAATTTCTCTTTGCTTTTTAATATCGTTATGGTTTGAATTCAATGTGTTTAGAGATTGAAAACGTACCTGAAGAGCACCAGATCCATGGGCGTCTTCGAGATATCGTTGTACTCCGCGAGATACTCTGCCACCGCTTCGGCGAGCGCATCCCAATCTTGAATCTCTATGTACAATTTCTGCTCGGCGACCGGATCGTGGAAGTCGCAGTAGATGAGGTTTCGCAGATTCACATCTGTTATTTCTGCGCCAGACTTATCCTGCAGATCTTGGAAAAGAAGGTCCATATCGTCATTCATGCGCTCTTTTACGGTCTTCCGAATCTGTTCCACCAGCCACTTGCTGTCGGCCTCGTCGACCAGCCGGTCTCCGTAAACTCGAAGCACCTCGTGGACCCACAAACGCCTCATGCTTATCTTAAAAATTCGTTCGATACAAAGTGTATTATTTCATTCTTCGTAAAATGAGGGTAACATAAGAAGGTCTGATACATTTTCTTTTTTTAAGAACGATCGGGATTCTCTTAAAGGCCTTCACACACGAATCTACTTAACACGTAATACGTAAACCGTAAGGAAATCCTTCAATCAGAGTCGACTATTCCCCTGACGTAGATGGGATTAGGGGAATTAAGAAGATATATAGATAAGCGAAGATACCGATGATCCTGTAGACATTGCTTTTTTAAATAAAAAAACGAATTGAGAAAGCGACTTCAGTCTGCACATTCTAATAATCAATACCACCCCGTACCAGATCGGTAATGGCTTCGGGAGTGGAGAGTAGTACGCCCTGAATGACCCGCGAGAAGTCTCGCAGATTGAACAGATAATGCGATTTCGCCGGGGTCGGCAGGAGGTGCCTCCTGGTCTCCTTGTACACGTCCAGTGTGGCGTGGACCACGTGATCGATACACGGCTCGAAGAACTCCGGGAAGCCGCGGGTGGCAAAGTGCCAAGCGGTGATCCTGCCGAATATGGTAACCAGGACGTCGTCGTCGAACTCGGAGATTGCCAGGGTGACGAAGTGCCGCTTGAACCTCGGCGTGACGTCACGTCCGCCCGCGGGCGGACCCATCGCGCACATCAGCTGGACGTCCACGAGCTTGATGGGCACCACCTCCTTCCGGTCGTACCAGGTCCAGTGGTCGAGCCATTGGCGCAGGAGCTCGATGGGGGGCTGCGCCCCGTACTCTTCCTTCTGCGGCATCGACACGTCGTCCACGAAAATCACCCAGTGTTGGCCGGGCGGCGCACCATACAGACCTTATCGGATATAATTGCTGAATATTAATAATAAGACGAACGCAGTTCGCGATAAAATGGAAAAGATTTTGAGCTAATGGCGCAAATTAAGGGAACGTAACTCAACGATCATTTATACAGCTATTTTCAGAACGATTTTTTGCCTTGGAGCTTTCTACTTTTGAAACCTGTCAGGTTTCTTTCGGCGACGCTTCAAGCGGCCGCATTTCTAAGTGCAACCTGACGAAAAAAAAAACTTCAGCTTCTAGATCACGCACGGAGCTGAAAAAAATTTGTTTCTAACTTCGCCCCGAGACCTCTTGAAAGCTTAAAGTCTCTTCTTTAAAATACCCTTGAGCGAAGTTGAAAACAACTTTCTTTTTTACGAAGAGGAAACTTAACGAGATTTTAATCTCATACTTTAAAGTGCTTTCTGCAAAATGACTCTATGACTATCTTTCGCAACGTTATAGAAATTTATGGCCCGAAAATGATTTTTAACTTCGTTGCAGTCCCATTAATTGCTTTTAATTAAACTTTTTTTTTCTCTTATTTATATATATTTAAATGAGATATTGAAATATTTAAGCAAAATAAAATAACGTAAAGAATTATTTAACGCCAGTAATTGATTAAACAATGTAGAAGAATTGCATGACAACCAACGACTGGCAAATTCTAATTAAAGAAATTCATTGTGAAAAATATTAACGTCAGCCAGAGTTTGATCCTGGACCTCCCTACACTCTAGGCGGGCGTCTCACCAATTCGACCACTGAGGCATGTGGTAATATTAGTCGCAATAAACAGTACTACTGATGGCATCTTCGCGTTTCAGGTTCAGGCCCTGGCTGAGGTAATATTTTTCGCAATGAATTTCTTTAATTAGAATTTGCCAGCCATTGGTCGTCAATGCAATTCTTCTACATTGTAAAATAAAATAATATTGTAATCTGCCAATAACAATTTTCCTTTTGTCTCGCGCACACTTTGTGGCCCAACCACATAGTAATTTCCATAAAATTAAAACAAGCTAAATCGACGCACCTTTCTTTCTTCTGTCCAGCTTGCTCATTATGATATCCTGCGTCTGATTGGCAGTGGTCTGCGCCGAGAATATTACGAAGAGCGGCTTGAAGATCTCGGGATTGTTCTTCTTCAGCAGAAACTCCATGATGTAGACAGACTTCCCGGTGCCCGTCGGCCCGACCAAGAGGACCGGTTTGTGATGGCGTACGAGGTACCAGAAGAGGTGGAAGTATCGAACGGTCTCAACCGTGGAGACAATAATCTGGTTCACCGGCATGTCCCTGGGGATTGGCGGAACGTCCTTCAGATCCTCCAGCCAGAGTTTCCATCTGCCTTTACCCTCCTTGACGAACTTATAGTCGAAGACCGAGCCGGTGCTCGGTAGAAGGACCAAGTAGGGTTTCTTCAGTTCGCCAATTTCCGGCGATATGCCGAAGCGTTGGCGCACTTCCTGCGGAAACTCGCGTTCCGCCAGCGCCCTGAAGAGCATATTAAACCACTCGCGGTAGTTGGCCAGCAGCGTGACACCCATCGCCCAGATGCACGCGAAAAAGAAGCAACCCTAAACATCGATATCTCTCGCTTTAAATGTTGCCTCGCTGAAATTAAACTTGGCGTTTCATGAAAATAATTCAAATGTTGATGGACTCAGTGGGTAATTTACAAACATGGAATCAGTAAATACTAGTCATTAATTTAATACAACTAATTATATTATGTAGGTATTTATTTCATCAATAATAATAAATAATTTTAATTTATACACTTGTTTTAGTTCCGTTCAATCCTTAATTGGCAGAAAAAACTTGTGCCCGCTTACTCTTGTCGTGTTTAAATCATTATTATTGATAAGACAAATAAAAAATAGTACACTGCGTTTTCTATAAGAAACGCATCTAATTAAAATGCTTTCTGTCGACATAAAATTGAACAGAATTGAAATAACTGTATAAATTGAGCTTAATTATACCCATTATTTTTTTTCTTTCGGTTAACTTATTATTATAGATAAGATAAACGAAAAGTAAAACATATTTTTTTAGAACCTTATTGTTAATAAGTTTTTCCGTCAATTTGAATTTCAACACAATCAAAGTATTAGTAAAATTCGTATGGCTCAAATGTGATAAACGCAAATTCGAAGGAACAAAGGACTAAGAGTCGTGACGTGAAAATATTTAGACACTAACACCCTGTCACGGCTCTTAGTCCTTTATTCCTTCAAACAATTAAAGTAGCTATACAGCGAAGAAATACTCAATGGGGAGGGAGGTTCGCAATTTATGTTAGTATAATGTAAACTCACTTCCACTTGCGCTCTCATGTCCAAATCGGAGAGCGCGCTCACGTACTTCTCGTCGCGAAAATCGTCCAGGAAGCAGTCGTACAGGTACATAACCGAGCGCGTTAGATTAGCATCCGGCATCGTTATCATTTCCTGCGGGTGGAGGGACCGTGAGAACGCGTAATTTCCGACGGAAACGAGAAAAGTTTCTTCGAGGTACGCAAATACGCCAAGTTTATTTGTTCATTCTTATCCTAACAACAAATATTCCCCGGCGTTACGCAATAAATCCGGAAAGACGGATCGTGGACGGGAAGATTGGGAGGAATCTGAACGCCGGGGATTCTGCGGGAAAGAGTCACTTTTAACGAGGCGGCTCACCTTTGCGCCGCAACGGCGAATCAGATGCAACAGAGGCGGGCAGAAGCGCAAATACATGTCCTTCAAATGGCTCTTAATTTCCTCCGTGAAACTGGGCGGTAATGTATTCAGCCACGATATCAACAGTGGCGTCCAGCCCAGACTCACCGGCTCCATGTAGATCATACCACACCGCGACACCGTGGCAGGTGATGCAACCTGACAGAGACGTTCTAATAAAGTGTTCGGACACGCGTTTATTCCAGATATTGGTGGCTTATTGCCGACAAATGTCACATTCTCACAATTAGAAAATTTGAGCACGACACAACGCCGTAAAACTTAAAAAATATTGAGCAAGAAGAGAGAACATTTAAAATTTGCATTACATTTGTTTTAGATATGAAATTTTTATATTAAGAAGACCATACATTCCAAATCCTATTATTCTGAATTGCGATTTTTAAATTCTATCTCATTTCTTCTAAGCCCCCTCCTAGTTAAAGTTTAAGGTTCAAATATGAATTTTTTAGATCTGACCTATTTATTTTTTTTAATAAAATTCTAAATATCTAAATTTTAAGTTCTGAATGTAAAATTTCTATTTCAAATTTCAAACTTGTAGACACGAATATCTTACACTTATTGAATTCGAGATCGTAATGCAGTTTGAAAGTACTTTTCTATAAATTTCAAGCGATAAAATTCAGCCTCTCGTCTTATAAATAATTTTCTGCAAACGCCAAATTCCAAAGATGGCCATTTCTTACGAACGAAACTTTAGTAAAGTGTTAAAAGTTCCGAAAGATCCCGTGGCTTACCTCCAAATCCATGGGCTCGAAAATTAGATTCGTTGTAGGCGCGAGCTGAATGATCTCTCCAGACGTGAGGCAGAGCTTCTTGTTGTCGTCCAATACCGTGTTCATGTTCTCGATCCAAAGTGCATCCACCGGGCCGTCGAAGACCAGCCACTTCCTATTCAGATTAACGGAAGTGGCGAAGGCGCGGTAGGACACCGCCAGGACACCGTCGCTCCACTCGTGCGACGCAGGATCGAATTGACCATACAATTGGCCCATCGTGATGGCTTTGGGATTGAGGACGGTGATCTCGACGCGATGCTCATCCATCAGTCTCCTCTCCTCCAAAAGGCCGAGGCACTCCGCCAGCATCCTGTAGGCCGAGGTCTTGCCGCCGAACGGCAGTCCGACAATCATGAAGCCGTGGCGCACGATCATCATCTCGTAGATCTGATGGATCTTCTCTAAAAAGTGGTCCGTGCACTGCAGATTCGCCGCCGCGCACGCATCCCGCGTGCACACGTTGACGTGCGTGTAATCCGGCGTCGGCAGTACGACTCCGGGAAACAAATCCGAAGCTATCCCTGACATCAAAAGAAATCCGTAATATTAACGCTGGAGTTACGCGGACAGTCGAAACGAGACTGGTTCGTAATTTTTTATCAAAAGAACAATATATTTCCTGAGATTTTCCGTGATTTTTACTACAACGTGTAAGTACAATATGAAATTTATTTTCAATTTATTTTCCCTTTTCCTCCTCCTTTCAAAAATATATATATATTATATTTAAATGGTGGAAATATGTTAATTGTATTTCTGTTGAAAGTTAATTTTGCTCACACTCAAATTTAACTAAAGCAGCAAAGTTAAAAACACATTATTCAAATTTTTACACATATTTAAATTTGATTTTTAATGTATATGTAATATAATTTAAAGTTAATTAAACAATTCATGTATAATATATGTAATTTTTAACTAATTTCTATATGTCTTTCGTGTACAATACACATGTTTCAGCCAAAAATTTACTCGCAAAGAGAGTCAAACGATCGGAGAAATAATTTCGCTTCGAGATGAAAAACATTGCAAGAGAAAAACGTACCCTCGAAGAGCGGCAGATCGTGGACCAGGAACTTCGGCAGATTAACGTCCAGAATGCTTCTCAGCATCAGGATATCCTCGGACTCGTCGGGGTAGCGAAGCTTCAGGTTGCCGGCAGCGATCAGCACGGATTTAACCGCCCTCATGCCGTAATCATAATGATGTTGACTGCTGAGCTGCTCCGAGCAGAGTTTATAAGCGGTGACAATCTTTACGGCTAACGGTCTGCCGTTGTAGAAGCCGTAAGAATACAGGGTATTCTCCGCGATGAGAGCGTAATCAGGCACCATCATCGCCACCGGGCGGAAGAGAGCCTTGAGATTGTCCGGCAGCTCGGTTCTGCCGGCGTAGCCCGGATTCATGGTGATGAATATGGCGCAGGTGGGGTCGAGGTAGATCTCCGTGCCCTCGAAGATCATCTTCTCGGTGCCGGCATTGATCGCGCACTGGATCGTGAGGATCTGCTGCGCCACGACCGACAGGACCTCCAGGTCGATCCGATTGAATTCGTCGAAGCAGGACCAGGCGCCGCACGAGGCGAGGCCCTTGAAGAACTTGCCTAGCGCGATGTAGTCGAGGCCCTCGGAGCAGTTGAAGACCACGCACTGTTTGGCGACCGCCTTCGCCAGGTCCTTCGTGGTCTCCGTTTTGCCGGTGCCAGCCGGTCCCTCGGGCGCGCCGCCCAGATGAAGGCTCAGGGCGCCGAAGAGGGTGCGGTAGCATCGATCCGTCAGAGGGGTAATCACCAGGCGAGATGTATTGCCGAGGTACTCGCAACCGTAACGTATGTACGAGTTGATCATATACGCCCACATGTTGTCTTCCTGTTCGAGCAAACAGAACGTAATTGCAGTACACCAATTGTACAAATTTAATTTAGTTACAAAGATGTAATAAAATTTAATTCAATTAATTCTTAATTAGTAAATTACGAATTTGAAGAATAAAAATAAAGTAGCTTAACAGAAAGACTTGTAGGAAAGTGAAACTCTCTCTACATTATAAAAAATAATAGAAGATACATCAGAGTTACAGATTCTAAAACTAAGATTTTGCAACGCACTTAAATCGTTATTAAATACGACTTTAGTATTAATTAAATAGTCGCACCAGCCAATAGTATCTGAGTTGGCACAGCCATCTGAAGTCGGTATTTTTTACAACTTGCTCCTTGTACAGCTCCGCGAGGACGTCCTTGCTGTGAACGTCCAAAGTAACTAGCGCCTCTGAAAAAAGCAAACGTCAACGAACGTTCAATTAATGGAAGAAATTATTAAAGGTACTACGGAAAGTTTTAAAAGTGCCCGCGACCATCGTCGTTTAATTACGATACCCAAGGTAATGCGATTCTGCTTCGAGAGAGTTCCCCTGATAAGCAGAATAACATCGTTTAGCTCCTCTTGGCACTGGTCCAAGTATCTCTTCAAACCGGCCACTCCCTTCAGCATGGCCTCCTCGACTTGTTGCGTCCAATATGTCTGATCGACGCAGAGAACGGTCTGGCCGGGCCATTCGAGGACCCAAACCGTCCTCGCCTTCGTGTGATACGCCACGATCGCTTGGTGCACCATGTGGCGCACGCTCTTCCGCATCTCTGTCTCGAGCTCGATCAGCCATTTCTCGACTTGTCCTCTAGCGATGGAAGTGGATATGATTTCTAGGATATCAACCTCCTCGCCTTCCGTCGATCGCATCGCCAACACCTCGAGGTCCTCGTTGAACTTCAGTCGAGCTATGCCCTCGAAGCATTTCTTCAAGTGCGGTTGCACGCTAAAGAGCAATTTTATTCCATGAATAATGTCCCGGGAGAAAAAGCCATATATCCAATTTTATCTAATTGTATCAAATAATGTCAGATATGATAAAATTTAATCAGATTATATCCAAATTTTAATGCATCCATTTATAAGTATAGCAAATCAAATGTGGTCAGATATAGTCAGATGAAACGGTATAAACATCTGACTATATCTGACCACATTTGATTTGATATGTTTATAAATGGATGCATTAAAATTGGGTAAAATCTGATCAAATTTTATCATATCTGACATTATTTGATACAATTAGATAAATTTGGATACATAGCCTTTTTCCCCGGGTGGTTACGGTAAGTATTTAAAATTTGCCGCTCTTTATACGCTGTTTAACGAAAACTAGCGTCTTTCGTTACAATAGCTACGTTCAGTAGAAAAAGCTGCTTTGCAACTGTTGCAAAATTCATGAATCCGATTGGCGTACGCTCTTAAATTCACTCAAGATTAAGAGAATACGCCAATCAGATTCACGAATTTTACAACAGTTGTAAAGCAGCTTATATGTGGACATGTACGATCACATCTGCTTGGACATGCGGAAATCATATCTAAGCATATCTGACCAGATATAAGTACAACTGCCGAGATCTAATTTGATCAGGTCAGATCCAATTCTTGTTTCCCGGGGTCTCAGCCTCCAAATCTCAAAAGATCTTAGATATCACAAATTATTGTAAAGTTTATAAATGTGTAAAATTAGAAACTAAACCTTGCTATTACTCTTGATACCTTTTCAACTTGATGTATCATAAATGACTTACCGCGTAGGATCCTTAGTCTCGGAGAGGATCTCCAGCAGCTCGTCGTTGGAAAGAAAGAAAAATCTGGGGAAGAAGAGCCTCTTCTTCTCCAAGTATTCGTTCAGACCTTTTTGAATTAGTTCTAACAGCCCGAAGCTCTTCTTCAGCCGTTCCAGCATCTTTTCGATCTCGACGATAGCGAGAACATGCGGCTCGCCGTAAACGTTCTTCATGATGTCCCGCCATATCTTGTCAACCTGTGCAAACTTCCTTCCTTCTTCCGGCATCTGCTGCTGGATATCCGGCGAGGTGAAGATTGGTTCCAAGTACATCCACGTGCCCTGCACCTTCAGCCACTGATCCAAAATATCCTCCAGCAGGTGCAACGTCTTCTCCCATTTACTGCAATCGAAAAGCATTGCGTAACAATATAAAAGAACTAATAAGAATATTCTTAAATGTCGCCAGCAATAATTAACAACATCGGCGTCTCCTTGACCGTATCTGGCAATTTTAATAATACAGAAAATTTATTGCGAAAAATATTACCTCAGCCAGGGTTTGAACCTGGACTTCCCTACACTCTAGGCGGGCGTCTCACCAATTCGACCACTGAGGCATATGATAATATTAGTCGCAATAACAGTATAAAGATGTTCTCTACGCGTCTATTTCGACTTTTTAGAACTGCGCGCCGATAAGGGTTGTCGATACGCGATTTTTAAGTATTCCTGTCCCCTCCCCTCTCTATATGTGTATATAAAATCCCTATAATATATGTGTATAATAAAAATTCTTTTGTATACACATATATTAAAAGTTTCATAAAGGTAAAGTTAGCGAAATACTAATTTATAATGACAGGACACAAGTAATTGTATAAATAAGATTACACATGAACATACGATAAATAATGGAAGTATAAAATATAAAAATATAATTTTTCTAGAAACAGAACACGAAACCGGAAAATAAAATTTAATATTCTTTGGTAAACGTAAATTCGTATTCAGCGCCAAAATCTTGCAGTAAAACCCACATTATTCTGGCCTCAAAAGGTTTAATGTGAGGCGAGTTCTTGATGGTCACCGCCTTCGTTATGTGATCATCCAGCAAAAGCTGTATCTCGTCGACGCCGGCGATGACGTAGGTGCCGGTGTCCTTGTAAAGGTTCACGGTGAAGGTCAGATCGGTCCATTCCCGCTGCATCCTGTCCATGCCCTTCTCCAGGGTGTCCTCCTTCGTGGCGGCCTCGGAGACACCCTCGAACTGCGCGATATAAGCGTCCAGACCCATAGCCAGGACCTTGCCCAGCGTCAGATCGGCATCGAACTTGATGGGAATGCCCGCGATCGTCGAGACCTGTTCCCAATGCCGCGTCTTCATCCCGGGATTGCCCAGGGTCATCACCGCTGGCATCCGATCCTTGAACTCCTCGATTCTCTCGCGAACCGCGGCCGCCAGCTCGCGCACGTCCGGTTCCTGCAACGCTTTCTCCAGCTTGTAGATCGTCCTGAATCCGATTTCATCGTCAAAAAACTAAAGTGACAGGCGCAGCGTAACAATAACATCACGTTAAATAATTATTTGACAAAACTAGATAAATTTTAAACTGTTACAGTTGTGTCGAAAATATACGATTTTGCCACAGCAGAATTTTCTAATCACTATTCTCATTTTTATCTCCCATTTCATCAAGGCTTCTTATTTTAATTCTTATTAATGTTTCATAATTCTATTGTAACTTTTCAGATATCGACCTGTAATACGTTCCTACGTCGTTGTCGATGTCTTCGGGATTATAGGTGCCGATCGTACTGTTTATCCACTTGTCGTATTTAGTCAAATACTCGCAGACGCTGTCGAAGAGCTTCTTGAGGGGCTGCAAACGATCGGCAATCCGTTTGCGCAGAGGATACTGCGTGATCTCCCAGCCGAAGGCGGCCTCCTCCTCGTTAAACTTGTCGATCTTGTCCATCGCCGTGACCAGCCGGTTCTCCAAATTTTGCGCCCTACGCTGATACCGATACACCTCCTCGATGTCGCCCCAATATTGTATCTCCTCCACTTGTTTCGCATACGATTCCAATTCCTCCTCGAACTTGTGATATCTGACTGTAATACCGAAAGCGAACTTGGAAGAGCGCAGATGCGAACCGCGCATAGATACAATTTTCAACGAATTCGCGATCGATCATCGATCAACTGTTACTCTGAAAAGGCGGACATTCGAATTTTTAGTACACGCGACTTTAGGAGGAATCGAGTTGATTCTCTTACAACAAAATCCTACGTGCCTCAATGTCAATTGTTAAAAAGGATTCGATTGATTAATCAAGATTATTATTTATCCAGATCGGGGTATCGTGGGGTCAACCTTTCAGCGCGTCTTGGTACTCCTGCGTCTTGTTCTCAACGATCACGCGATTGTCCTCGAAGATCTGGGGCATTCTGTGATACCACTGGAAAGCCACGCTGTTGTTACTTATCTCGCTCTCCGTTAGCAGCCAGTAATTCGACAGAAACGCGATGTGCTCGATCACGTCCAGCAGCCTGAGCTCCAGGCTCTTTAGGGTGACGTCACTGGTAGTTCGGACGAACTTGATGAGTTCCATCAGAGCCGCGGTATTGGGGGGCGGGGTTAGGACTCGCTCGGATATAGCTTCATATTCCGCTATGACACTGGGTACAGAGTTAGTTTGAGAGAATTGAACTCCATATAACGTTTCGAAATAGAAAATAGTCGGCGAGGCTGATATTAGCTTTACGCAGAGAATAACTCCGGAGTTACTCCCCGCGGCAATTAATCCCGCGCGCTGAATGCAAAAAAAATCACACCCCGCGCACGTTTCATTCCACTAAGTATTGCGCGCGAATGGAAAGCAAAATAGCTCGTGCGCGAAGTTCAAATTTTACACAATTGTTACGGTCACCCGCCCTAAGTAACAATTGATCAAAATAATTTTGAGACCCGCCACGTATAAATTGGTTGGGAACTGATCGCAACGATAAATCGCAGGGGATTAAATGCGATCAACGAAAAGTGTTTAGCGCTTAATTGAAAGCCTTAAAAAGTAATATTTAACATTCACTTCTTCGTCGTATTCTGGTATCGGTCGACGAGGCGGTGAATTAGAAGCCCTTTGAAACGCTCGACATTCTCCACCACGGCCCTAACGAAGGGCGCGTGAGAAACTTGGTAGAATCCCGCGAAGACCGTCCCCTCGATCTCGATCGGTATTCTTCCGGCGAGATCGTGATAGAGTTTAATTATCTTTTCGTACTCCTCCAGCCCCATCCTCTCGTTCAGCAAGAAAGCCTCCGTCCGGCCGAGTTCCTCGTCGTTGTAGAGGTGCGCGTATCTGCAAAAAACCGGGGGAGGAGCCGCCGTTATCGAGCGGTTTATCATAGCCGCCTACGACAATAAGATCGATAAACACTTTCTCAATTCTGCCATCTTACGCTCCGGGATTATTCTCTCGCGATCGATCAGTTGATTTATCCGTCTCTTCAGCTGCTCCACGATGGGCTGCGATATCTGCGGCTGCGAAGCGCACAGACAGCTGTTAGCAGTAATACTTTAAAAGACGAGTGGCAATTCACGAATTATGTAAACGATACAATTATACATACGCGTACACGAGTGCCGTGTCGCGTGAATTTACAAAAGTGTGCTTTTTACATGTTACACAATAATTATAATATTTAATTAAATTGTTACAACATTTAAATTAAAATTATTAATGACAGTTTTATTATATATATATATGTGTAAACGGTGATTTTAATTGTTATTAATATATTCCGAGCAGTTAATAATGAAGCAGCGGGGAGAAAAATAACTATATTTCGCAATCCTCATTTTACGGTGAAACGTTTAAAAACAGCAGATTCGGTTCTCCACTTGGTCACCCATATTTTATGATGCGAAACCTTGAGAAATTCTTGGGGTCCCGCCCAATCGAGATAGAGCTGCGTCTCCAATCTTTCAAAATTCTTCACGGCGCCGCATATCGCCTCGAGAACGTCGCAAAGTGATTTCTTAAATTTGTCGAAGGACGGCTGAAAAGCGAGCTCCTTGGAGACCACGGCGATGCTCACCTTGAAGCGACAGGCTGCGGGCTGTGGAGAAACATGAAAGAAATAATGCGCTCCGCGCAAACACACGTTCCATCGAGGACTTTTCGCGGGAATGTGAGTGAAGACAAAAATTGAAATCCTAAGAAAAATTGCTGATCTGCAAAAATCAGACAAAATCGAGATCAAGGGCTCGAAAACTCGAAGAAAGCTGAAGGGAAGGTTGTTCGCTCATAAAGTCTGCGGAAAATGAAAACGGAATAAACGTCAATCAAAGACTTTGCGTGAGATGAAGGCAAAAATGGGGATCCTAGGAAAACTCAATCGTCGCAATATCTATTCGTGTGCAAAAACGAAAAATAAAGGTGAAGCCCGGAGGTTCAAAATCCACGTTAAGAAAAACTATTTCTTTCCCGACTACTCGTTTATAATCTGCGGAAGATGAAGGACGGGGGTGATTTGTAACTTTCGCCAGCTGTCGTCTATCGTTTATTTTTAAAGCATCAATTGATTGTCGTAACATTTGGGTTACGGGCGCGATAGGGGCTCGAAGGCAAACGAGCGGGCGAGCCTTGAAAAGGCTTGATAAGCAGAAATTGATGGAAATTGTGTCTCGGAGCGTTCCAATAACGCGCGCGACAGTGGATAAGCGGAGGAAGGAAACGCCGAACGCGTGCGTGTTTCCCCGTCTGGAAATGATTTCACGTCGATCGATTGCGGAAGGCAGATATGTATATTCACCTTGCCGTCCGCGACGTAATTAACGAAATCCCGCAGAGAGCGCTTGCAGGTCCTTAAAAGCTGCGACTCCATCAGCTTGCCGGCGCAGTCGAAGAATCGTTTGAACTGCTTGCGCCGCAGCGGGCTGGGCACTAGCTTCTTCCTATTGTTCTGCAATAGGATAAGCCATAAGGAATCGGTGAGAAATATTTCAGGCTCGTAAACAAATTTAACATGCAATGAGCAAAATTAGCGGACGAACAAATGAGGAAGATAAAGAGTTAAAGTGCGTAAGGATTGACTGTTAATTAATTTTCATTCGGCTGTCGAGAGTGCGAAGTAAATGCTTAAGTAAAAAATGAATTAAGAAGAAAGTTGATAAAGGCTTCAATCAAAAAGCATGGAATACAAAACAAAATTGTTAATTCGTCTGATGTTTCTTTCCAGCGCAACGTCTTTTTATCCGCGTCATTAATATTATTCCTTTCCCGATGCTTTACCACGAGAAATATCTCTTGAATCCCGTTGTACCAGTCTTTCTTCAGTATCCGTCGATTGGCGTCGATCTGACGGGTGATTAAAGTATGAAAATTCGTCAGCTCCCAGCTCTCCTCGTGCGCGGCGATGTACTCCAAATTGATGAGCCGAAATTGACTGAAAGAATCGACGGTTTTCGCTCGAACGATTCGCAGCGCGAAGTAATTCGTAATTCGTATTGATACCTGTAATCGCGAACCCACTGCTCCAGAGTCATTCGCATGCATGGATTTATTAAATACAGATCGGTGTACAAAATTTCGCGGCAGTGCTCTATATGTTTCCGCGAGCTCGGCTGGATGCGCCGCTCGTCCTCCTGGACCGCGTCGAGCTGCAATGCGATCGGTAAGAATTAAATCGCTCGTGACAAAAGCTCCGATCTTTATTCTATCGCAGCTTACGAAACGCTGAAGAAGCAAAATAAACTATTCAACGCACTGTCGCTACACAACAATTACGTAGATGAAAAACGAAACATCTCTTTTCCTACTGAATGTCTACAACTCAAAGTTTTCGTCCCAATTTAAATTTAGATTTTTAAAAAATGTTGAGCCTTGAATTTTTATGTTGGAGCATTTTTCCCGTTTACTTGAACTCTTGTCAATAAATGATTCAGTTATCTCCGATCTGAATTGATTCTGAAATTGAGAAAAAAAGAAGTCCTTTTTGTAATTCAGTGTCTTTTTCCGATGGCCAACCTCTGAGGGATGTTCCTCGAAAGGATCCGCGAGCGCAAACTCGACGATGGCTTTCTTCATGTTCTTCGCGAAGTCTTCCTTGATTTCAAGGATCAGATCATTGGCAAAATCGGGAAATTTATCGCGCAGGCTGCTGGGAACCAGATCGAGTATCGCCTCGACGAAGACGTCCTCGATGCTCACCGTGTGAATTGTATCGACTCCGTTGCAAATATAATAATAATATCTATTGACGTCCTTGTCGTCGCTCAGATCTACATCCTTCTCTGGCAGCTCTGGTTTCACTACCAAACCCACCATAAATCTAATTGCAAGAAGATTTGTTACGGCTTTAACTTCTTCCGAAAAAGATCCACGATTTTTGTTTATTATTATTATTTTAATTCGCATTATTAATAATCAATTATTAATACTTTATATCAAGTTAGCCTTACATTTGCCTCTTAACATGCTTACACGTTTGATATTGTATAACAATTTGATTTTATAATTTTATAAAATTAATGTAATTAAACAGATTATTGTATTATTTGAGTCAGTTTCAGCCTAACATTTAACTCTTAATATTCTCGTACGTTTAAAATTTTATACATGCAATGATAAATGTACTTAATTAATTAAACAAGCGAGAACAGAAAGGGGACACGTAAGATTTGGAATATTGAGTTAATGGATCCTTGCTCGACAGGCGCATCTATTTAACAAAATTTCTTTAATAAAACAGCCCCTCGATTTAAAGAGCTTCCCTTTCAGGGAAAAGTAACATTAAACGTACTGAAAAATTATATTTTATCACAATTACCCTTTTTGCTCTAATTAATTCAACAAAGGGAAATTTTGTTTAAAAGAGACTGGCAAGTCTGGTCGACTTTTAAAAAAATTTTCCCTTTGTTTAATTACCACTGGCGACAATGAGCTTCACTCAATTTTGCTAATTGATTCAATTTAATAATCTTGTTAAATTAAGGTAATGGAGTAAATTTATATTAATTAAATAAGTTAGTTAATATAAATTTACGGTAGTTGCAGAGGTTCTAGATCTGATGTTACTTGAGAGTTTAATTACTGACTTTGATCGCTAAGTAAATTCGGAGTCACTTGGAATTCCGTTTACGTGTGTACATAATATTCCGCTAACTTGGTCTCCCTTTAGCGGAACGTCATTTTTCAAAGAGGGCTACACCAATTCTAAATAACAACCCTCGAGAGCAACAAATAAATTCTTATACCATCGCTATTACAGGCTTCGGGCTCCCTCTTGCCCTTCGTACCTGCGAAACTTCTCCTCGCGAAGACGTTCTGCTACGTGAGGCGCGTCACGAAATCTTTGCATCTTCCCCATTTTCTTAATTAACGCCCCTCCTTTTCTCTTATATCTTTTAGGACTCGTCAAGTCCAACGGCAAGGAAAACAACGGCTCCACCTTCGTGTCGAGGATCCTTGGTATTCGAATCGCATCCCTGGACTTTCGTACCTTCGTTTCCTCGGAGCGAGAACTTTCCATGTTCAATCTCAGTCACGATTATTAATGACACAGAGCGACGTTTGACAGACTTGCATTAAATCCCTGAAAAATATAACTATGTAAAATATAAAACTGCAAAACGATTTTAGTTGCTCGCGACCTCTCTGGAATTAAATACTTTCCTTAGTAGCACAATTTATTGGCGCAATATTGGGAAATAATGTAAATCTACGCGGAGACAATTTTCTCTTCAAATTTACCCTGAAAATTATGTAATCGTCGGACAGCATGGAATTTTGAAAAGCATTATGTGAGTTTTTTAAATTTTACCACACGATTTACTAGTAAAACGTATACTAAGCATAATTACTGAGGATTTTCTCTTAAAATTTATCCTGAAAATCATGTAATCGTGGGACAACGTGGCATTTTCAAGAACTTTATTTAGATTAAAATTACTTCACTAACGTATGGTCAAAGTTCTCCAAATTGATACACGTGCTTCAAAAGTGTTTCAACTAATTTTTCTCAGATTTTTCTACATGTTTTGAGACCGATTCAATTGCTAGAGCGAAATTCGTTGCCCACTCGTGAAGTTCTGTTCGCCATTACTGTAATGTTAAATGATACTAAAAATCGTAAAGTTTAAACGGCTATATCTCAAAGTCTATATGGTGGATCGACTTGAGATTTAACACAGACGTGCTACAATACTTGAATTAATTTTGTTTTAAATTTTCAGAAGACTTTGAGACTCTCAGTTTAGCGTACAACCACCTTTAAACAAAAACGAGATGACAATCTGTTGCCGGAAAGCACGCAATACTTGATGTCACCTAAACACCCGGAAATAATTCTACAAAAGTTTACAAAAAAATTAAATTCAACTGCCAGAATCTAAATAGTTCTACGTAAATTTAAAAAGTGTTATAAAAATCAACATGAAAATGCTAGAATTGCAACACTTTTCTTAATTTTCGTAATATTCTACAAGTAAGCAGATGTTTTAATTCTGTAAGATTTTGTTGCCTCTCAAATTTTTTAAACCAGCAAAGTTTTGTACCGATTTTCACGAGAACATTGTAATTTGTGGTGCTATTTCGTAGACATTTCTACAAAAAAAATTAACGTCTCAACGAAGATATAAAAATTTCGACAAATTTCTATTCCAGCTGGTCATTCTTTTTGTTTTTAGTTACTTGTAGAAATTTTTTCCGCTAGGTTATGTATACTTATTACTCCGCACACTTATCCATCGTTATTATCGCAATAATCTCGTTGCGGAATATACCGTACTGACATTTCCGTCAAATTTAAACAATATATCTGCAATATCTGCAAGTGTCGAGTTGGGGGGGAGGGGAGGGGGCCCGAAAACGCCCCTCTCGGTGGAGGGACGATTACGGACCTGCGTTGTACTCTAACCTTCGAGCACGGTGAGCGTTTTGCGTCGTCGAGCCGCCGCGGTATAGCTCTTAGATTCGCTAGACCGGCCCGGTCCACCGCGAATATGCACGCGTCTCGCGCGATCAACGCTAAAATCGCGATTCGCGTTCGCACGTGCCGCGCCCCGTGCCCTCGTGTCGTCCGTGAGATTCGCAAACTGGCACCCACGGATCGGCAGTCTCTAGGCAACGTGGCCGATCGATTCGGCAGGATTAACGAATCCCGCGAACCTCGGCGGAATCGGCGAGAGGACGATTCTCGCATGTGCCTCCCCTTCGCCCCCCCCGGCGGCCGCCGATCTCTCGCGTGCGGGCGTCCCCTTTTAGGTTAGGGTGCCGGGAACCACCTGCGCGTCGATTGTTCGTAGCCACCGGGACCCGGGGACTACGCCGGCGTCGCGACGCTGTCTCGCGAGGATTCGCGATCCGGTTTTGCCTGCGCGACGTTCTCCACCCTGTCATTCTAAACCCGCGTCGAACGAAGCCGGTTTGCCGCAGGCCCCAGGACGCGGCCGGTGAAATTAGCGCGTTTCCATCCCGCCGAGTTGCTCCGTCGTCTCAGAATTCGGCGCTGACGTGATGTATTCCGCAGATGATCCCGGCCCAGATACTCCGGCTGATTCACACGGAGCGCCTGGTCTGGCAGGCCACCAACAGCTCCCTGCTGGCCAAGCTGCGGAAGAAGACCGGCTACACCTTCACCAACTGCAAGAAGGCCCTGGAGCTGCACGAGAACGACGTGGACAAGGTACGGGGCGCGTCCGCGACACCTCCTGAACGTTACATCCTGCAGCTCTAATTGACTTACGGCGGAATCTCTTAGTTCTTGCTTGCTCCAGGCTGAGAAGTGGCTGAGAGAACAGGCGCAGCAGTACGGCTGGACCCAGGCGGCCAAGCTCATAGGCCGCAGCACCAGCCAGGGCCTGATCACGGTGATGGTGGACGGGCCTCACGCGGCGCTTGCCGAGATCAACTGCGAGACCGACTTCGTGGCGCGGAACAAGAAGTTTCACAGCCTCGCGGAGACGGTGGTCTCCGCCGTGCTGAGCCAAGCGAGGTCTCAGGAGACTCAGAGCGAGGCGCAGCGCACTCTCTTTCACGCGGGCAGTCTTAAAGACCTGATCGCAGCGGACGGCACGCCCCTGAGCGATCATTCCGCCATGACTATCGGCAACGTAGGCGAGAACATCAGTCTGAGACGCGCTCTCGCCATCAGCGTACAGTCGCCGGACAACGTGACGCTGTTCGGTTGCACGCATCCGGCGCCGATGAATCCCATACCCGTGTCCTTCGGCAAATACGGCGCCCTTGTGGCCATCAAGTGCAAGGAAACCGACGGTATGCTGGGTACCCAGCTCTGCCAACATATCATCGGTAGGTCTCATCTGGCAAAGATACTCGGATGCAGCTGGAGAAGAAAAGGAGTGACACTCGCGACGCCGTTTCTCTTTCTTTTCTCTTTTTTTTTCCAGGCATGGACCCGCAGAAGATCGGGAACCCGCGGGTAGACGAGCCGCACAACAACGTGGACGAGGAGCCGTGCATGATCTACCAGGAATTCCTGCTCGATCCTAGTCTCTCTGTGCAGCAGCTGCTGGCGGAGGCGCGTGCCGAGATCGTCGACTTCGCGCGTTTCGAGATCGGCGAGGAGCTCGACGAGGAGTCGGCGCTGAAGAGCGCCAAGACTTGCGGCTGACGTTGGATCGCGACCTCCGTAGACGCTCGTTTTTTTAATTACCGTTAATATTATTTTCACGATAATACGATTTATTTACACGATAGCCATTACTTTTGTTATGACATCAAAGGAGCAGAGAGAGAGTATTTAAAAAGGAACGTTTGAAGGAAACGGATTAATGTCTCTCAGTCTTACTGCTGTGTACAGTGTATTGTGTTACTGTAATAAAGTGATAATCTAGCGTGAAATTTATATCGTTATCTCGATTATTCTCTTAACGAATCTTACGGCTTTTGCCTCCCGCAGCCACAGAACCTGTACCGTTGTATCAGAATCGCGAAAAAATCATGCACGTTCTTTCTCTTGCACTCTACGTCCTCTTCAATATCCCCATTTTATATTGATTTTGCGATGAATACAAAAGAATACTTCATACGCGTCGCTAACATTATTTCAATGTTAAAATGTATTCGAATATAAAAAAAAAATTAAATTATGATTCAAAAACTCGTATGTACACGATCGAATAAAATCTATGCTACGAAAGATCCCTGCGATACAAAACGCCCGCAGTAGTATTCGGTTTGGTTCTTTTCAGTCTTCTCGCGAGCCTGATCGACTTCCACAGCCACATCCGAGAGTCCTTCTTCCAATAGGGCGCGATATCCGCGGGGGAATGCCTGATGCCCTGCGGGCAGAAAAAGAAATGTTAATAATTTCCTACGATCCTTAATATTGAATTCTTTTCCCTACAATTACAATTTTTAAATTAAATATTCCAGAGAACCATTTTAAATTCTCCTTACACCGCATATCCTGTTATCCTTTTAACATCCTGAATATCGTGAGTAACTTGTTTAACGTCTCTTTGAATTTCTCTGCTAATAGGTTTAATATAAGTCCCGAGTTTTGCAAAGTCAATTTGCTTCCCAATCAGGATCAAATAGTCGTGGACAATCGTACCTGGAAAATTAAAATCTCTGGTCCCTGAACCACCAATTGAAAGGTAGATTTTTCTCTCGTCTTGAAGACCGGCCCGGTTTCCTCCTGCTCCGAATCATTGAAGTAATCTGTCTGCACGTCACTTGTTCTAAATCCCGGGTGATTCCGCGTCCCGAGCTCCAGGTTTTCCAAAGCGGACGTAAAATTCCCGATGTCCTTGCAAATTCCAATTCCAACCTAAATCAAATAAATTCATCGAGAAAACGCGACAGTTTTTAAATTGAAATATTCAACTTGCACTAGACTGTAAAACTGATTAAAATGTACATCGACTCTCGTAATCTTAAAAAAATACATTCGTAATTCGTGTACACTTCAATGCAATAACATAATTTTCACATTTCTTAATACATTCTTCATTAATTCCTCGCCCTTTAATTCTTAATTATTCGTATTTCTTGAATTCATTTGCCAATCAATTAAAATTTGTCTACACGGCCGTTAGTTTTAATTCGAAATTGGACATTTCGTTTTTTTCGTGGCTTGGATTGTTGTGGATGAAAAATTGGATAGTTTCAATTCAAAATGGAATATCAAATTTCTTCAGCTCAAACGTTGAAACTAAATAAGAACAATTAAATCCGACCACTATAATTCTGGATGGAATTAAACTGCTTTTAGAAATTTGCATAATGTTAGTTTTACTGTTCCGATGAACCTGAACTCCTTGAGAGCAAACGTCGCGGTTCAGAGCGGCTGCGGCGACGGCGGCAGGATCCTTCGTCCTGGCCGCAGGATGATCGTTCTCATCCCACTTCAGGTTCTCGACTGTCCAGAAAGAGAAAGCGCACGTTGTAACATTAAGAAGCTCACAACGAGCGTACCTCTACCTCGATGTTATACCGCTCGACTGATCAGACGACTCCTCGTTTCGCCAATCCATCCTCGCGCCGTCGAAGGACGGTAAGACGGAGACTCCCTGACATTTGTCGACGAGACCCGCATCCCTCGCTTGTCGCCTCCTGTCAGGGGAAAAAATGCGCGGCGAGCGCACTTTGTTTCAAGGACCGAGTCGAATCGAATTTCTACGGCTTCGGGAAACTCGACACCCGATTAAAAGGGACCCTCCGTCGTGCTGGAATAAGACAAAGAATAATTATAAAAACTAATATACATAACACATCTTGCGGTTGATTTACAGTAATATCTGGAATCGTATTAAATCTCCTAGTCCGCGCATTGTCCGAAGAGCGAAATTTTGTGGGACAGCAACAGCCGTGTCTACAAAAATGTCCACTGGACTCGAATCTGGTGAACGCCCTTACAGAATAACGTAAACGAAATAATTATAAGAAAATTGCTGTACATCAGTAATTTCTAACAATTCAATTGCGGAACTCGAGTAATTGTTCAGTGCCTTTTTTTTCGTTCCCAGTTGTCACATTTCTGTAAGGGCATAGTTGCGAAAGGATCGATCTGCGTCTCCCAATCTGCTGGAAATTTTTTCAATGCAAACAAATTAGTTTTAACATTTAATCTCGTTAAGCTACAAATTCTTTCCGTGTTTCTTTTTCAGAAAATTTAATTTTATCACGTATATAAAAATAACGTAAGTTTTAATGAAAGTCTAAAACTGCGCAAGGACTGTATAATCGTCCCCGTAATTATATGTGTCTCCTTGAGTGCCATATCACTCTAGAGAGAGCTGTTCCGTAATTACGTGACTCGACCGCCAAAGAGCAAGCCCGGAACGAAGGGCCCTTTTGTTTTAGGTTTCTCTCTTTATAGAATGGCCATCCTGGGAAGCAATAACCGGAGATTATTGCCGGTTTTCCGGCTTCTCCGCCGAGGGGAACACGAGCTGAGAGTTCGGGATCGAACCCCAAGAACCGCCGCTTCCCTCAAAAGTCGATCGCTCCCGCGCCTCTCCTCTCATTATTACGGCGATAATTAAATTGTAAATATACAAACGATTAAGAAACACCAACCAGCAGTTACACGGCGTCAATGTTGGTTGCTTTTCTTTTAGAAAACGCCGTCGACGTTTTGAAACTTCTGCATTCTGGCCAGCATTGATTCTGCTAACCAAAGAAAAAAAAATTGGAGATTATACGTTTCCGTTATTAAACGAAAAACTTGAAAATTATACATTTTAATATCGATCGCCGATTATTCGCAGCGAGCGATCGCGGTTTTCTTCCCGTACTTCCCTAGCGGAAAAAATTTCTATAAATAACTACAAAAAATTTACTTGAAATTTGTAGAAATTTTTATGTCCTCGCTGAAACGTTTATTGTTTGTAAAAATATCTACGAAATAGTATCACAAATTACAATGTTCTCAAATCAAGAAATTATCGCAAGTAGCGTTTCATGAAAATGTAATCTATGCAAAACTTTGCTAGTTTGAAAAATTTGAGAAACAACAAAATCTTAAAGAATTAAAACGTCTGCTTACTTGTGGAATATTACAAAAGCGTTCCAATTCTAGCATTTTCAATGCTGATTTTCATAACACTTTGCAAATTTACGTAGAATCTGTTAGATTCTGGCAGTTATACTTTATAGTTTTGTAGAATCTTGTAGAATTATTTCCGGCCACGGTTGTCGCGAACGCGTATCGAGGAAGAATAATACGACATTGAGGAGCACCGCAAACCGTCTCGTTCGACTGTCGCCGCGTGAATGATCGTGCGTACGGCGTGACCTATTGTTTTTGCCGAGCGACCGAGCTCTGATTCCAAGAAACTACGTAGCGTCGTAAACACCTCGGTCAAAAACAAGTCTTATTGTGCCGAATCATTCGGCGCGGCCTAGTCGAGCGAGTCGGGTGTCCCGCGTGTCTTTACGTCGCTTCTCACAACGCGATCGTCCCCTGCGTTATTAACATTTATCAATCGCGTTTAATTGTCGCGATCCGTAATCTGATTGCTCCGCGGCGATTTGTCGAGGTGAATGTCGCGCGTAATTTCGAGTGGAAATGCGACAAGGGAATTATATAAATTATTTTAATTTCGACAATCCACGGCGGCGACGCCTTTCTTAACGATCGAACTCGGACGAGTCTCTCTCACGCTTTGAAAATTTTCGCCGGTTCAAGTTAAACATTTGTCACTTTCCGCGCGCAAAGTAATACACGAATCGCCGGGTGAAATGATAACGAGAAATTGTAATATATCAATCGCTTGTCCAGATGTAATAATCTTTCTAACATTTACACGTACAAATTGCGCGTTATAACAAAGTTTCCATTCTCGGTGAGTTTAAATCCTGATTCAATTGAACGCAGGTCTGCAATGCGAAACTAACTCTAATACTTCACTCTTCTGATAGAACAAATTTCGTGAAATATTAGAAATAAATTTCTGTGCTAACGTTATACGTGAAATGTGCATGACCGACCTGTAATCCTTTTCAAATTCTGAGTGTTACACGGTTCTTTCTACAGATAAGAGTTGAATATAAAATTGAAAATGACGAAAATAGCATTGGTTAATTCCCTATTGGATAACGACATTCAATTGTTCGTTACGTTAATTTACGAGACAGCGGACGAATACTTCGCGTTCCTTCGATTACGATGTATCTAATAAAATGCGATAAATATGGGAAATGTGCCACGGAATCGCCGTACTTTGTTATTCAGCTGTAATTAAATATCATGATCGTAATTTAATAGAAATTCACAAGCGAGTGTTGTGTGTGCGTTACCAAGAAGCAACAACGGAAGAGCGGACGAAGGGAGAAAGAACGGGCTCTGAGGTGATCATCAATGGATGACGGCAGAGCCACCAGAGGTAAGTGCGCGATACTTCATTTTATTTAATTGTTACGAAATTGATCGATGGACAATAAATGACAGATCGGTACACGCGTGTCAGCAAAGTTACGAATTTAAAGCCCACTTTTAGACTATGTATGTCGCTTTCCATTTAGAATTTAATTCAAACTCAATCGATTCAAGCTCAATCGACTTTTTGACTCACATCCGAAAGAAGAACACTTCCGCTCCAAATATTTCGATAGAATATTTTGTCGACAAACCCCTAGCACAATATATTGGCGCAATATTGGAAAATAATGTTAATCTATAGTATTCCCAGTATTGCTCCAATATTGTAAGATGGACGTCTTCTCTTATTTTGCCAACATGTCTATTTAGCAATATTGGTGTAATATTTATTCAATATTCTTATTACATTGGTAAATATTAAGCAATGCACTTCCAATATAAATCTAATATTATATAGTTAACATTGTGCAACATTTACATTTATTGAATGGCCAATATTGGCTTTACGTTGGACAATATCGGCCAATACATTTTCAATATAATCAACATTGGACCAATGTTTCGCCAATGTTTAGCCAACGCACTGTGTTACTAGGGAACCTCCTCTTAAAGTCTTGTTCTCTAAAATCTTTGCCACTTCACAGTGGGAAACTGTGCTCGAGTTTGTTAATGTGTCTCCTAAAAGGAAAGCAGCCATTTTCCACTCAACAATGCAACTGTTGTGTGCAACATGTGTTACACTTAAATACCTTCGAGAGCGGGAAATAATATCGACGTTATGTTACTGCTGGTTGGTGTTTGCGGGATTTATACGTTGCACGTGCGAGCGCGTCGCGGCGAGTCTTGCGTCAACGCGGATTGAACCTTACGAAATATCATATCTGCATCGAGATAGCTTCAATATATGAATCCGCAAATTGTATTTATCCTCGTCCCGGATACCTAACGTTATTTGTCGTCATTTCGACGTCGAAATGTTACGAAAAAATGTCTTCCTGACGTCAAAACGACGGTAAATAACGTCAGCCCGTGCTACTTTTCAATTCTTTTTTTTTCCTTATCTCAACCTGGGTGCCTGTCATGGAAATGTTCGGAACTGTTCAGTTATTTCCTAGATTTCTATTGTGCTTTCTAGGGGGAAAAAACGGAATAATTCCGATCGGAATCCGTTCCGCACATTTCCATGATAAGGCGAGCCCGTTCTCCATGTCTTTATCCGATCGCCACGATCGGTTCCTTATCCGGTACCCATCGACTCGGATCCTTCTCAGTTTCTTACATTCTTACGGAGCGCATTTAACGCACGTAGGAGCGGAACGGGCCGCGCGCGAGGGGCCCATTACGTGTTCTAGGACGTGTAATAAACCGCCGTGCTCTATCTATCCGTGGCGAGGTAACGTTGGAAAGGCAGCGGACCTCGGAGCAGGTGTGCGCGTGTGTGCGTCGCGCGTTGCTCGCAGGCGAGAGATCGCAACGGGGCCCCCCGGGCCCCGAGCGCGCGCGCGCGCTCGCACGCACTCGTGAGGCCCGCACAGCTCGTCCCGGGCCGCCTGCTGCCGTTGCCGGTCACGGCTGGCCGGCCGGAGTTCCGGGGCCCACTTCCGGACACTCCGCGCGCGCGGCACACCGGTGCGGTCTCGTTTTCAGCCGGGGGATATCAGTCGTTCCGTGCAGTGTACAGTTAGCCGCCGCGCATCACACGCGGAGCTCCGGTCCTGCTCCTTAGCGCGTGTCCCTCCGCGAGGTAGAGAGAGAGGCGGTTTAAATGGGCCCCGGCCTCACCGCGAGCCGCGAGATACCCGGAGAACAATGGACTTCCCCAGGCGGGTGAGTGAGAGAGAGATTCGTTCCGTTCGCGAATCGCCCGATGACCGCCGGAGAGATCGCGGGGGCGCGACGTCTTCGAATGGGCCCTTGAAGAGGCCCTTCGAGCGGGCGGAGCCGGACGTTCCTCGGTCCTCCGATTGAATTTCTGATAAACAGAGAGAGGGAAAAAATTAGAGAGAGAGAGAGAGAGAGAGAGAGAGAGAGTGAGCCGAATGTGACGAATTTGGAGGCAATTCTGAAGAATATGCATAATTAATAATATTAATTGCGTCAGTTGCGAGAGACTTTTGTGTTCTTTATTAGCAATGTTTACGTTCGAGAAGATATTTCTGATCTTTGTTACACTTCTTTTTACTCACTAAAAGTTTTAATTAACGGACGCATTTTCTTCAGCCTCGCGTTTCTGAAAGCCTTCTGAGAGATCCTACCACTTCCTTTTTTTATATATATATATATAAGTTTTTAATTAATGAATTATTAAATTTCCTCCTCCCGTTCTTATTTCCGCTCTGTTTAATGCTCGCGTGATAAGTTTAAGTAAATAAAAAGTCAGATTCGTGACTATAAGATACACCGTTGCAGAGAACAACGGAATTTAATGAAAATCAATAAAACGAAAGGAGATTATTTCGGTGTAATTTTAATCTCGTTGTAATTTTAACCGCCCGAAGAAATTATGCTAGGATCAATTAACTTGTCCTTTGTGTTTCTCTAACTCGTACAGTCGTTTCGAGTATCTCACAACCGAAGACACTCGGCTCTCGATTTACGCGATACTTTTCATACGCCTCGGTTTTACACGATCTTATTTTACGCGGTCGGAGAAAACATATCTCTCCATGTGTGGTATTCATTAGAATTATTATACATCAGTAGACTGAAAAGTCTTTCCTGTCTGCACTCGTTACATGATTCTGACCTTTTTTTTTGTTGACCTGTGGAGAGCACATTAAGCGCATCTGCACAGTGAGGACACAAATTTATCTTACCGCTTTCATTATTATTCCTTTCGTGCAAATGTGTGAACTAAATCTTTTTACAGCAGGCATTTCTCTTTTTTTTTAATACTGACAAACTCCACGCAGAAAAAAGTGTTAGATCAACTCTTCTGTACTCGAGTTAACACGTCTATTACTTTGTATATACGCAACAATTTATAATCTTTTTAGAAGCATTTAATAATCTTACATTCCAACAATATCACAATCCCATTTAAATACTATAATTGCCACTTCAAGAATACATATAATTATGTTGCTAATAAAATCATTTTAATTATTATAATCTTCGATTCGACAATATGTTATTTTCTATCCAATATTATTTCCTTTCCATTCAAGACAGTGATTCTTAAATAATAAGCAAATAGTTTGCTTGATTGAATTATATAAAATTGCCTCGTTCAAGTTTTTCCTCTCGCAATACGATCTTACTTCAAGATTTTCACGTTGGGCACTAAACATATTTTCAAAAGAAGAATATTCTCTTTTCCGCGCATTTACGCGACTCTCAACCGCGTATAATATAAAAAAAAACACCCGGCGCGAATCGAGGGACAAGCGACTCCCTTGAAGAGGGAGGCAAAGATCGACGCCACCGAAATCTTATCTCGCGCTTCCGCCCTTGCGCCACCATTGTCGAGCGAACGATTCTCGGCTACGAGAGCGAGGGAGACCCGCGGCCGGACGGCCGCGAATTCTCACCTTTTACCGCGATTTCCTCGCAGAGATGTGGGCGACAGTTGTGACTTCCTGCCCGGTCGCGCGACGATGATCGTCGCGGATGATGGTCGCAGGACGCGCGTGCGCGTGCGCGCGTGCGTGCGTGTGCGTGAATGCGAGGCGCGGGCCTCGTGTATGAATGAACCGCGGGTATACGCACGCACGCACGCCACGCACACACGCTGGGGAACGAAACCAGCACAATGCGACGGTGGTCGGCCGAGGCATAATGGGCCCCCGTCTTACCGGGATCCGATGTGGTTACAGGTCAATCAACTCGAGCCGAAAGCGAGCGGCACAAAAGCCGTACTCGTTTTCCCGAGAACAATGACAATTGCTAGTCGCAATGAGAGATCTTTCGAAAATTCCTCCCCCCTCTCGTAATCCGTCGGGGACGACCGCTTTGACGACGCGAACGTCTGAGAGCGTCGTGGAAATGTCCGGGAGAAACGTCCGCGGTCTCTCAGATATTCCTTTCAGACGGCGACTATTCTCTTTTAAACCCCCGGCAATTCGAGCTGTCCCGTCAAATAATTAAATTCGCTAAATTTAGTAGAATAATTCACTTAATTGAAATAAATAAACTAAAATTCGTGTGTAGCGTCGAAAGATTCGCCCCCTTTGTTATTTGCGCGCGACTACTTTGACGACGCGAACGTCTAACAAAAGCATCGCAGAAATGCCCGGAGGGAAGCCGGAGTCTCTCAAAAATATTTCTAATGTTTCTAGATAGCGACATGCTTTTTTCACGCAGCGACGAGCAATAATTCACGTCGTTTTGTGCATCGCCAAATGAATAATTCACTCGTCAATTAACGATAGGCAAAATAATCACGCGAAACAATGATACTCGGCTTTCACGTTGAAGTTACATCGCACTTACATCGATCTTGCACGTGAGCTAAATTAAGGTAAACTTATTTAATGTGCTAAACGCTCTTCCGGCCAAGGCTGCGTGCATGTGCGTCGAGCACGCACTCGAGTGCACCTGCGAGGCCGAGGATCCTCTCGCGAGCTCCGGTATCCCAGTTTCCAGTCCGCTCGCGAAGCGCGTCCGTTGCGAAACCTCGGCTCGCTCGCGCGCCTACGAATGTAACACCGGCGATGTAGTCGCGCACGCAATTAATTACCATTAATTACCGCACGCGTGCGCCCACCTGTCCACCTTAGAATCCGGTTTTTTTTTCGAATTTTCCGGCGACTCTTCGCGGGATACGCGAAAACTTGCTTTGTCCGTCGTTTTGCGACGACAATATATCACTTTTGAGCGCGAGGAGAAAGAGAAAAGCCCTGAATCGCCGGGAGGAGAGGAATTTCCGAAGGGGCCGGGTTTCGATTATTTATCACGGGCGAACATGACGAGCGTGCTGTATCCTGAAGTTTTAAACGCCGTCCCGCAGGACGACAGGAGCTGTCGCAGCGATGACTCCGGCGGCGAGGTCTTCCGAAACATCCCGAAGAACAGCAGCATCTTCCGTGTCTGGAAGATCGAGGTAGCTATCAATAAAGATAATTACGATGCTGATTGTGAGCGACTGTGTATGATCCTACGACATCGAAGTCTTTTTCAACGATAAAACATACGCATTGCAGTACAAAAATAATTCTATTGGAAGATTAACGTACAAAGTTTTAGGCCCAGTTTCGCCGAACGTCGCTTAACTTTGATCTCAGTTTAATTCACGTTTGTGTCTCAAGCAACAGTTGGAAGAAGGCAAAGAGCGAGGTAAGCTAAGCTTAAAGTTAAACAGCGTCGGCGAAACCGGACCTCAGAAATTCACGGGCCACAGCAATCGTCATGGATATACAAAAAATAATAGTAGTCTTCCTTACGATGGTCAGACAGGAAATTACGTCTCTTTTTTAAATGCTCCAATTAATGTTACATTTTTATTTACTTCTATTCCTAACTATTGTTTATGAACTATGTTCAGCTATCGTGTAAATGATTATTTGTCTCCTCCAACTTACATTTAATTATTTGCTCCGCGTCGCGTTTTACTCAGGCACCCAAGTAGAACAAGTTAATCACAAAAACGTCAATGTGACATTAAAACGATCAATTTTACGCCATAAAATGATCGACATCAAGATTTACTTTGCAACGACTGATTTATGACACGATGTTTCATGATATTCGCGATGTGTACAATAATATATTATTACAAATTACACGATCAGTCAGTTTATCTTGCATTACTGCAGTTTATTTTTAATGTACAATACTTAATTAGCTTCTCTGTGTAAAACAAGATCATTTTTACAACGTTCTGAGTAGGTGCTCTCGGTGGGCTATTTTGACGTCACCGCGACGCATGAAAAAATGATGAAAAAAATGACGTCATCTTGATGTTTTCGTGACCGATATGTTCTACTTGGGATATTACGTTACTCGCTTTTGTCGAGCAGGGTCTACGAGCGACGGTCGTGAGCAGCAGCAACATGGGCCTCTTCCTCTCCGAGTCGGCGTACATCGTCTACGCCGTGTCCGCAAAGGACGGCGCACTTCCTTACCCGGGCATGCCGGTATACTTTTACTTCCATTGTGTTGCGTCGCCGTGAGAGAAACCGCACACGAAAGCGCGAGCACCGCCACGCCTAATAACGAAATTCGCGCCCTCGCTCTGGCGTGATTTTACTCCTGCAGATCTACTCTTCGAGCTTGCCAGCGCTTCCCCCGCGAGGAAACTGAATTTCTCTCGCGGAGACGTTTACGTTTATTAAAGATTGGTGCTGCAATCGAAAGAAGAGAAGCCGCCGACGTTTAACAGACATGCCTGGAAAAGAAAAAACAGAGATATTTCATTTTGAAAATGTTTCTTATTGATGTAAATGCGAGAAAAGCTTATATGGTAGAAGAAAATTGTTACTGTCTTTGAAATAATGTAATCTTCTAGAAGGATGTTGGGCAAATACATGTAACGTGACGAAAAATATAAGAAAAGAACGCAAATGTCTTTGTAAGAGGATGACTGAGCGAATCTGGGTCACAAAGATTGGCATTAATGAAGACATCGGCCTGCTCCTCTTCTTTTCGCTTTCGTTCGCTTTATCATTTCGCTAATACGTGTTGCCGATTGTTCCTTCTGTAGATCAAGGACCTGAAGGACACCGCGGTGGTGCGCGCCATCCACTTCTGGATCGGCGCCAACTGCGACTCGACGGCGTCCGGCGCCGCGGCGCTCCGCGCCGCCGAGCTCGACTCGCAGACGTCGGCGATGATTTTAACGCGCGAGGCGCAGGGCCGCGAGAGCCCCCGGTTCCTCGCCTACTTCCGGCAACGGCTGATGGTGGAGAACCTGCACCAGGAGCCGCCCGGCTGCGCCCTCCACCGCGTCTCCGGCGTCGCCGTGCCGATCCTGACCGAGCTGGAGAGGGTCCACTGGGATCGCTTCAGCTGCCGCGACGTCATCCTGGTGGACGTCTGCGCAAAGTGCGTGACAGTCCGGGGCAATCGCGTACCACGCGACGCGGATAATTTTTACGTAATCGCCGCGGACGATGTCGAAATCCGCCGGTGAAAGTTCTCGCCTGCAAAAAAACAACGCACGTGCCTTCCTGAGGACTGAACAAATGATCCCTTTAACGCCTAGACGAAGTTTAGCGCGTTTAGAAAAATTATCGCGTGATCATGTCGGTTTTACCTTTTGTCTCTTTGTATATTTATGGCTTCACTTTTTAACTTCATAATGTAATGAGTAAGTTTTAATTCCTGACAAGCTTTGCGTCATTAGTACACGGTATCTTCTTTTCTATTTAGACTTTTATAAATTCTTCCGCAATAGAAAAGCGCGTTAATTCGTACAGAGGAAAGTCCTCTGTCGTAAGACAGGATTCTAACGTGAGACAGCAGGTTTTCAAATTAAATCACAAATCTTCCTTTTGCAACGATCTACCAATTAATTTTCCACTAAACAGACTTCACTCCGAGGGCAAAAAGTTCATGGTGGAATCAACAGAAGATGTCTATTAATTTAGCAGAAACCCCGCTATCTCATATTAGGAGCCGGTCTGGTAATAGGGGACTTTCCTCTATTGATAAGACGGCAGGAGTCAACTATACCACCTCGATTAGACGAAATTGGTTTTCGTCGTTTTCTCAATTTCACAAAACAATTCCATTTTCGTCTATTGATTTAATACAAATTTTGTCCCGGGTAACCACGAGTTTGACAAGAGTAGATAGTTAATCTCTCCTTGGTCCTCAGGGGTGTCGTCTTCCTGTGGCTGGGCTCGCTGTCAGATCCACTGCACAAACGTCACGCCGCCAGTCTGCTGGAGTCCCGCAAGGAGAACAACAACGGCCGTGTAGCGGTGGTCGAGGACGGCTACGAGCAGACCTTGCCCGCGGACGACAGGGAGCTCTTCAGCAGCGTGCTCGATTCCTCGGCGAGGGTGGTGGCGCCCGATCGCCAGCACCGCGTCAACCCGCCCAGCCCGATCAAGCTTTACAAGTGCAGCGAGCAGTCGGGCAAGTACAAGGTCGCCGAAGTCAAGTCCGGGCCGATTCTACGGGGCGACCTGACCTCCGGTTCCGTGTACCTGGTGGACCGGGGCGAGGCCGGCGTCTGGGCCTGGGTGGGCCGCGACGTCAACGCGCGGGAGAGACTGGAGGCCGTGAGAAACGCGCGCGGCTTCGTCAAGAAGAAGGATTACAGCGACGGCGTGCCGGTGGCCAGGACGACGGAAGGTAGAGAGAGTTGCTTTGTCGCGCGATAATACAATCTTCTCATTCGGAAGCATATTATACATTTTATTATTTGAAAATCTCTTGAGAATGCACGCCGATAAAAGGAACATCGGTATCTTAACAACGAAAGAATGTGAGTCGCCGGTAGTTGATTAACGATACAAAATTGAATTCCTTGAAAAGAACCACAAGCCGTATGGTCGAAACGTCGGATTTAAATAAATAAGCCATCTGCCGGCCTAAAGTCGTCTAACAATTCTCTTTATCAGTATCTTAATTGTAACGAAAGAAAGGAAATGGGGGAACGATCGTATGCATGTATAAAAATTGAAATCAAGCCAGTGATTGAAAAGTAAAACGGCTGAAATAGACTGACAACCTTCGGGTCGCGAGAACTTTTAGAATTTTGAGATCGTAGCGTTGACATAGCGCGGTGCAACAGTCAGGCGGAAATAAAAATGAATGAAACGAAACGAAGGTCACGAGCCGGCGGAGATGAAGGCGCTGTTGAGGGGCTGGGAGCCCTCGAAGACGAGGCCGTTGACGTTGCCGGCGAGCTTCGAGCCCGATTACATGAACGAGAGGCCCAGGATGGCGGCCGAGTGCCAGCTGGTGGACGACGGGTCCGGCGAGCGGACCCTGTGGAGGGTCGAGCTGAAGGAGGGCATGGTCCAGGTGGAGGACGACAGGGGAATCTATTACGCGGAAGCCTGCTACGTGATGCTGTACAAGTACGGACAGGGACGAAGGTGTCGAAGTATTGTACGTATGGAACTCTCGGAGCTTAGCTTGGCTCCTTTCGAAAAAGTCTGTTAAATGTAATCTGCCGTTTTTATCTTCAAATCACTACTAACTATTTAATTTGTCAATAAAGTCCGGTGAATCTTCTTTTAGTCGCGTCGACAATTGCTAAAGGAATTTAATATCGTTCGTAACTTTTTGAGCATCGCGAAAAAAATAAAAATTCCCGCAAAGATTAAACGAGCCAGGAAAAGGGGAGAATTTTTCTGTTAGCGCGTGCGATTTTGTGAAGCGTATAAATGTTGGCGTGACATTTTCATCTCGTGGCTGTTGCAGTCATCGTGGAAGATTCAAACGGGAACGACTGTGGTATTTCCAGGTTTACTGTTGGGAGGGTGTTCACTCGGTCAAACTGGATCGAGATGCGGCTTTGACAGTGGCTTGCCGTCTGTCTGAAGAGACGAACGCGCAATTGGTGAAGGCGTCCCAGGGCAGAGAACCGCCTCATCTATTGCAGATCTACGACGGGAAGCTCAAGATTCTCGCCGGACGTCACCGTGATTCTCGTAAAGCGTCTCTCTCCTGTTATTCGGCTCGATAAAAGCATAAAGAAATAATATACGCATGTTACATCAATAAATAAAAGATAACAATTAGTAAGGTGTTAATCGTGAGCTTGAAATAGTTTTGGCAACAAGAACTTTCGTCTCGAGAGAATGTCCAATTTGGATCGAAATGCAGAAAGTTGTTCGACTTGACAGACTAATTCACGGTTTGAATGTTCTTGTTTGCGCTCGTCTACTCCAGACTCACTGTGATAACATATCAAGAGAAGTTGTAACATGCATGTATTGCACGAAGAAAAAATGGAATATTTAAATTTATACGTAAAGGAAACGTTTCACGTTTTGAAGATATCACAGGGAACGCGAAGGGTGCATCTTTCCATCTTCTACAATAAAGATTCTCAATTTGTAGCGCCCAAAAAGTATCTGGTCAGAGTGTTCGGCTCAACGCCGTACACCTCGAAAGCCGTGGAACGTCCGTTACGGGCGAGCAGCCTGGACTCCAGCGCGGTGTTCATCCTCTTCTCCGGCGCGCCGATCGTCTGGTGCGGCGGCAAGAGCACCGGCGACGCGAGACAGACGTCGCGACGCCTCGCGCCCAGAAACGCGCCCCTCGTTGCTGAGGGTAAGGAGAGCGACGACTTCTGGACCGAGCTAGGAGGTAACTGATGAACCGAGCAAAAACTATGAAGCGGCTCGAGCATCTCTAAGATCACGCTTGGCGTCACAATCGTCGTTGCTTTTTGTGCTCCTCAGGCAGAGGCGCCTACGGCACGGAGACCGAAGAGATCGGCGAGGAGCTGGATAAGCACCTGTTTCAATGCCGCACCGAGAACGGCCTCTTCGTGGGCGAGCAGATCCTTGGATTCCGACAGAACTCTCTGATACCGGAAGCTGTCTGGCTGCTGGACGCCGGCAGTGTAATCTGGATATGGATAGGCAAGTTCTCCAGCCCGAGGACGCTGCAAGAGTGCGTCGAAGACGCCACTATATACCTCTACACTCATCCCGCTGGTCGAAATCGCAACACGGCCATTTCCGTGATCAAACAAGGTGAGTTCCAGGCAATGCAAAGTCGAAAAGATTTGTTCTGACGATCAACGATGTCTTCCCTAGCAAGTTTCGAGTAAAAATCAGTCTTTTTTTTTCAAGATCTTTCTTCCGCGAAAGATCCTTAAAATATATTTCATACTTTTTGCTTTGTCCACAAGTCGATTTTACTTTTGTCGCTTCTCAGGCTTAGAGCCAGCCACTTTTATCGGACTGTTTGACAATTGGAATCATAATCTGCTGAGGGATTACAAGCCGTTCGACATATTCTGCGCCCTGCTGGAGGACAGAGATCAATCGACGAGGACGCAGACGACCTCGAAGGCCACCACGGACTTCGACAATTACATCAAGTACCCGCCGATGGTGCTGAAAAGCGAGCCGGAGAACCTGCCGGCCGGCGTGGACGTCAGACGCAAGGAAATGCACCTGACCTACGACAATTTCATCGCGATCTTCAAAATGGAGCCCGCGGAGTTCGAGAAATTACCGACCTGGAAGAAACAGCGCCTCAAGCAAGCCGCCGGGCTCTTCTAATTTTTCCTTGCTTACTTTGATCCCAATCTAAATATTATTCCCTCCCTTTTCGGAGTCAGAATTTAGAAATGATACACTTGTCCTTGCGCAATCCCGGTAATACCTTTATTACAAACATTGAACCGATTTATAATCAACGAGCATTGCTTGGAAAAAATTTTCATTATTATTTGAAGCTTACGTAGAACGCTAGATTAATTAACGGGGTTTCATGAGGACGTGTCCATCGCTTCGGACACAATCGCGCGCACAGTCTCCTCTTCCACGACGATCGGTTGTACTGTCTTCGTGAGCACCGACGTCGTGCCGGACTTGTAACGATAGCTGAACTGCCGCTCGCCCTTCACGCAGGCGGTGTCGTACGGCCGCAAGTACTCGACGTTGTTCTTGCGAATGACGCAGAGATCCACGTTGGATCCCGACGCAAGATCGTTGAACACGCCCGCGCGAATGGCGTCCGCCACCAGCCGCTTCGCGTCCTCTTCCTAAAAAGGCATCCAGTTTTCGACTTAAGAACACGTAGCTTTTGATATACGAAATAGTTTTAGTGCATTATTTAATATAAAAAGATAAATCGAAATTAAATTAATGCATACACAGGTATAAGTACGTTAACATCAACACACGAATCGATAGATTATAACGCGACAAGTTTCTCACTGTTTACACACACAGTTAAAATAAACTTTATTTTAGACTCTAGATTTGTCGCGCACATTCATTCGTGTACTCGGCTGCCTCCGCAGTCGAAGTCTCAAAGGAGCCAGCGATTATTCTAGATTATCACTGACGAAAAAGCGCTCCTCACCTCCATGTCGGGCTTCCATCTGCTCTCGAAGACCGCCATAGCGGCCAGCGAGCCAGAACCCATGGTGGTGTACTTCAGCTTCTCGGTCGAGCCGTGCGGATAAATGCAGTACAACTGGGGCCCGTCGAGGTCGTGACCGCCCAGGATGAGCGCGGCGCCGATGTGACCCTGATAACGGAACAGCATCTGCTTTATCAGAGTATTGGCGGTGCACACGGGCACGACGCGGCCGGTATTCAGGCGATGCAGCTCCAATTGGCTGGCTATCATCTCGGTGGTCATCTCGGTGTCGGCCGCTGTGCCGGCGCCGCAACAGCTGAAAATCATTTGCGTTCCTCTCAGTGTGTCGCCCGTGAAACCGAGGGACGGAGCACCAAGCAACGTAATACGCTCGCGACTGAATTTATTATGCAAATCGAACCCGAGCTATCGATTGAGCGCACTTCGAGTGGCGTCGGGTCAGCCGTTGTTGAGATCCGAAAATCAGAGGGTCCGTCAACTCGCGTAAACTACAAGCTACGCTTATACACAGTGTATTCAAAAAGTTCCAGGACTGGTCGCACACAGATCAAACAACGCCATGTATTGACTCCTATTTAATATCAAGCTTCTACATAGTCTCCCGCCAATTCGATACAACGCTTGGAACGAGTCTTCAGGTCCATCATCGCCTTCTGGAACGCCTCCACTGGAATACTGTTCAGTTCCTTTGTCACCGCCTTTTCAATCGCCTCTACTGACTCATATCGGTGTCCCTTCATCTTCAATTTTAGCTTGGGAAACAAAAAATAGTCTGGGGGGACAGATCAGGTGAGTACGCAGGGTGGTTGATGCTCACAACTTGCCTTTTCATCAAACACTCCTGTACAACAATGGACCTGTGAGCCGGTGCATTGTCATGCAACAGCCACCACTCTCTGCTCTCCAACACTTTCGGCCTCACACGCCGCATTCGTTTTAAAAGTCGTTCCAAAACTCACCTGATCTGTCCCCCCAGACTATTTTTTGTTTCCAAGCTAAAATTGAAGATGAAGGGACACCGATATGAGTCAGTAGAGGCGATTGAAAAGGTGGTGACAAACTGAACAGTATTCCAGTGGAGGCGTTCCAGAAGGCGATGATGGACCTGAAGACTCGTTCCAAGCGTTGTATCGAATTGGCGGGAGACTATATAGAAGCTTGATATTAAAGAGGAGTCAATACATGGCGTTGTTTGATCTGTGTGCGACCAGTCCTGGAACTTTTTGAATACACTGTGTACTTGACGCGAGACACTACCGTGTCTCGTGGTGTCATGTGTGACTGGAGGATAAGTACGACACAAGTCGTAAGCTATTACGTTGCTTCGTGCTGCGGGCCGAACTTGTGACAATGGGACGCTGCGACACGCACTACATATTAGGAGCGAGATAATGGATCTTCAGGCTGTACTTGTCGGCCACGATGGTGTCCTCGGTGGCTCGCGTGTCGCCGCCGAGGATAACGCCGTCCTTGTACACGATGCCAGCGATGGTGGTGCCAGTCTTGACCGCCTTCGGAGCGGCGAAGCCCTTCTTGACCAAGGCATTGTTCCTGCGCGAAACAAGCAAAACGTGAGCAGGATCGACGTGTCCGAAGTTAATTGAAAAAATCGAGTATACAAGAAAACCAAAGTGACCAAAGACGGTCGATGTTTTCAAGATACACGTTAAAACGGTGGTAACGAATCTTGATCATTGTTTCGCAGGACTTTTTTTTTAGAACGTTAGAAATCGTTCATTAATTTGATACTTGTATTAAGTAGGAATTGTTCGCGTTGTTACAGAAAATTGCAGAAGGCAGCAGCTCGCGCATTTACCGTCGCCTTCACGTCTCCGAAATTCTGTCTTGGAAATTGTTCTTTCGCAAAAACGGGAGATTGGGAAAATAATCTGCACACGACAGTTATACCGCGAGAACTCGTTGCAAAACCGACGTGTGACACAGCAGTATAGAGGTTAGCTGGAACAACTCCGGATTATTCTCGGAGCGAAACATCTACGAGAACCGAAGACAAACCCTCACCTTTGGCAGAGATCGAAGGAGAAACCCGGCAGTGGGACTTCCGGCGCGAGGAGCGTAGTCATGATTTGTCCCGGGTGTCAAATAATATCAGCGATCAAAAGTGACACAGCCGCAACACCACTGACCACTGACTACGCTGGCGGTCAACTTTGTCTTATCACGAGTCCGTTCTTTTTAAAGCCTCGTCTACATAGAAGCAGAGAGAAACCTGAGAGCGGCCACCCCGGCCTTTTACTCGACACCGTTTTCGCTCGGCCGATTCCAGCGCCTTGCGCCCATTTTCATTCTTGCAACTATTCCGCTACACCCATTTTCAAGCACTGCCGATAAAGTCGCCATTTGGCGCGTGTCCGGTTCTGCGCCCATTTTTCAAGCGAGTAAAGTTCGTATCAGACTACGGATTGAGATTGAGATTAGATTGAAATTTGACCAATTAGAGTCAAGCCCGTATCAGACTACGGATTGGGATTGGGATTAGATTGAAATTTAACCAATCACAGTAAAATTTACTAATCTCAAGTTCAGTAACTTTTACTCTGATTGGTCAAATTTCAATCTAATCCCAATCCGTAGTCTGATACGGGCTTTACTAAACTTGAGATTAGTAAACTTAAAGCCCGTATCAGACTACGGATTGAGATTGGGATTAGACTGAAATTTGACCAATCGCAGTAAAGTTTACTAATCTCGAGTTTAGTAACCTTTACTCTAATTGGTCAAATTTCAATCTAATCCCAATCTCAATCCGTAGTCTGATACGGGCTTTATGCAGCGCTCACTTTTGGTTGGGTTCCGTGCTGAATGAATGAAATGTCGCCAACACGAGAGTGTTATTGATCTTTCGTAACGGGAGTAATCGTTGACGTTAAACTAATAGCGTTTTCGATTTTCTGACTCGACCCGACCCCGAGTCAAAAAAGTTTGATCAAAAGTAAGATTTTTACAGAAATTGTGGTTCAAATCTTGCTTTTGATCAAACTTTTCTGACTCGGAGTCAGGTCGAGTCAGAAAATCGAAAACGCTATAAAAGTTGATGTAAAAAAAACGGATGTTAAACTCCTGTGCTTTTTAGAAAAAAAGATTCAAGTCGCTGATTGGTTCCTACATTTGGATCCAACGAAGAGCTGAAGCACAGAACCAATCCTGTTGAAGTATCACCGAGCCGGTTCCTCCGCTCAGCGCAGCCATTTGTCGTCACCATTCTGGGGACAACAAAAGAATCTTCCTCGCATTCTGCAATTCTGCAACGAGAGACGCGGACAAATGTATATTATAAAAAAAAACAAATTATATTTGCGCAATATGATGCTTGCGCGCTTGTACACCCTCGCGCATCAACTTGTCAGTCGCCAGGTTGACTTGGCGCAAACTACGTTGAGCGCAGAGCGAGTTGAAATGAAACATGGCGGCGAATAAGCGGGAAAGCTCACGCGAGGTCAGCGCGCGGCCAGATCGACCGGAGGGATCATGCACGCTTTCCTCAAGACCGGGAAGCTGGGCGCTCCGGCGGAGGCCAAGAAACCCTCGACTTCCCGGGCCAAGGACGACAGGAAGAACCTGACGCCATGGGTGGAGAAATAGTGAGTGCGCGCCAACCGGCGGGATTAACCTCTCGCCGACCTTCGCGCGAGAGAACCATCCGCTCGGCCCTTCGTCCTTTTCCCCGGGAGCTTCTCCCTCGGCCCGTATTCTGAGTCCTCTTTTATCGACGAAAGCACCTCCGACGCGCCTACGATGCGTGGAGTAAGCCTGGCGTAAGGAGTAAGAGAGAACCATAACCTTTAGCTTTTGGCGTGAGGAGATACAGGCGTACTTTTCACAAGATTTTCACGCTGACCGATGGCGTCCCGACTCGCCGAGAGTAAGCGCGGGAGCTCAAGTAGGAGTGAGAAATAAAATTGACTTACGATTCACCATTTTTCAGAAAGATACAAGATTTGCAAGTTGGGCTACCTACGTCTCGCCTTGTCACCCACATTGGCGTGTTCCTATATATTGTTTAGTTTTAGATAGGGGTCTTACTTGAAAGTTTATTAAAATTGATTTGTTTCCTTACTCCTTGGCTTTCTCCACGCATTGTAGACGATGCATAAAAGTAGTTCGCAGCCAATGAGAACACTCGTTGGCCACTTTTAGAGGCGCCTTTATCGATCAAAGGGTCCCGAATACGGACCTTTGTGTCTAGAAATTATCGCCGAGGGAAGGAACTGAGGATGTTAATATTCTTGTATTTCGTTCGCAGCCGACCGAAAAGCGTCGACGACATTGTGGAGCAGACGGAGGTGGTGAACGTGATACGGCAGGCCATGGAGCACGGGGATTTTCCCAACATGCTGTTCTACGGGCCGCCGGGCACCGGCAAGACCAGCATCATCCACGCGGCCGCGAGGCAGATGTTCGGCAGCATCTACAAAGAGAGGATACTGGAGCTCAACGCCTCCGACGACAGGGGCATTCAGGTTGTGAGGGACAAGATCAAGTCCTTTGCGCTGCGCAAGGCCAATCCTAACGGGCCGGAGTGAGTTGAAACTTGTCTTCGCCCCAGTGACTCAATCGTCCTTTTCTCTGGCATGAACTCGTGAAAAGTGAATTTTGGCATTTGTTAATGAAATTTGTCACTTTTTGTGAGTTGACGCTGGAGAAAAAGGATTTATGATCGAGCCCCAGAACCGGGACTAGACATTTGGCGCTCGAGGCAAGAGAAAAAAGTGCGCCCCTTGGTTACAAAAATATTTCTTTCGTGGCGTATAAAATATAAAGATAATTTTAGTTAGTTTCATTTATTATATTAATATAGGAAAGTCCCCTGTTATGAGACAGGATTCTAATACAGGATAGCGGGGTTTCTGTTAAATTAATAAGCGTCATCGGTTGATTCTACCATGGATTTATTACCTTTGGAGTAAAATCTGTTTAGTGGAGAATTCATTGTTAGATCGTATAATCGTTGCGAGAAAATATTTGCGATTGAATTTGGATTTTGAAAAAACCTGCTGTCTCGTATTAGAATCCTATCTCATAATAGAGGACTTTCCTCTATTAATTTTATTACAACATCTGACTGTCGTGTGTCCAGGTATATAAAAATTTGTATTGCTATTTTTGCGCTCCGAATCTTTTATACGAGGCAAGTGCCTCGTTCGCCTCGCCCTGGTCCCGGCTCTGCTTAACGCTTTTGCTACGAAAGGCCGTTGCCTCTGATGTTCTATTAGCGAGTGATATAAATGTAATTTGCTTGTATCGAGACATCGGAGATTATCGGCGATCGATGCCAATGATGAACCAGTAAAAGGTCTGACGGCTGCGGAAACGCGGTGCGAAGGATTGTTCGAGACAATGGCACATCTTGTTGTTATCAGGAGGTCTAGTGAAGCGTTCTAGGTGCCTCTTATTAGCAACAGCACAGAAAGATGCTTGAAGTGCTCAAACGGGACAGAAAGAACTATGAGACTGGTGAATTTCTGAGAAGCACGAGCAAACAGTTTCACTTTTCAAATATTTGCGTGAGTCGCGCGGAAAGATATTGTCAGTTGTATTTCTCCCAGAGGGGAATTTAATTAAATTTTACACTTGTATTAACCTTATTTCACATTGTGATGTTGGCGTCTTAATGACTTTAATTTTTAAATTTATTGCGAAATCAATTTTTCGCAATAAATGTAAAAATTGCAATCATTTAGACACTAAAACGTCCTGTCTTGGCTATTATATTCTTTATTACTTTATACTTGTGATAATTCAGTTTTGAATGTGTTTCACGAACGAATTTATTTCGCGGACGGGTTACAGGAATTGTACGATTAAATCTGACGCAAACACTTGAAAACTGATTGTCTCGAACGTCTTTCGCGCCGTACTGCAGCCAGTGATCAAAACGGCACAATCTGAGGCATAATATAATTGTTAATTAAGACTTAAAGATGGAACGATGAAATAGAATAACGAAGGTATTGTTTTATATCTACAGCGGGAGAAAATGTCCGCCATTCAAGATCATCATACTGGACGAGGCGGACAGTATGACCGGCGCCGCGCAAACGGCGCTCCGTCGAATCATAGAGAAAGAGTCGCACAGCACGCGCTTCTGCTTGGTGTGCAATTACCTGTCGCGGATCATCAAGCCGATAGCGTCGCGCTGCACCAAATTCCGGTTCAAGCCGCTGAGCGACGAGAAGAGTATCGCCAGGCTCGAGTACATATGCAACGAGGAAAATCTAAAGGCCGACAGGAAGGTCTTGGAGAGGATCGTCGAGGCGTCGGGCGGCGATCTGAGACAGGCCGTCATGTGCCTGCAATCGATCACGCGACTAAAGGGAAAGGAGTACGAGATCACCGTGGACGACGCGCTCGACGTTATCGGGGTAAATCTATGGGAGAGTCCTCTATTACAAGCAGAGTTGTAAACCGAACCGAACCATTGAAGTGTATCCGCTCCGAGAGAACGGATCAAAATTTCAATTATAAAATCGTTCCGATCCGGAGCGAACCATTTTTGATTATGATTTCAAACGCTCCGGTTTTGAACCGGAGCATGAAAAACCGGTTTTGGAGCGGTTTCTTTATCTAAAAAGGATTTAATTTATTTAAAAAGATTTACCACGTTTGAATCTTTGCTACATAGCTGGAAAGGTGGTAAATGTGCAAATTTCACCAGTTCGGTTCGATTTGCACACACACATTCCAAGTTCTAAATAATTTACTTCATTCATTCGGTTTTCGGGGCGGTTTTTAAACTCGAACCGGTTCAAAACCGCTCCAAAGAACGTATTTATGCTCCGGTTTACAATCTTATTCGCTCCGGTTCGGTTTACGTCCCAAGTTCCAAATAATTTACTCCGTAAATTCATCCGGTTTTCGGAGCGGTTTTTAAATTCCAACCGGTTCAAAACCGCTCCAAAGAACGTATTTTTGCTCCGGTTTACAACCCTGATTACAAGACACGTTTCTAATGTGAGATAGCAGGTTTTCAACGCCGAAATTCAATCGCAAATCTTTCGCAACGATTACACGATCTAGCTATGAGTTTTCCACCACACAGATTTCGCTCCAAGGGCAATAAATTCATGGTGGAATTAACCGATGATGTCCATCAATTTAACAGAAGCCCCGCTATCTCGCAACAGGGGACTTTCCTCTACGTTCTCGTAAAAAGATTCTGATGAAATGGAATCGTTTCGAATTGTGCTATGCATTTGTCGTTTCAGTTGGTTCCCGACGATCAAATTAATGCGCTGTGGGAGGCTTGTAACAAGAGGAAATACATTGATATGCAGAAGTTACTTGAGAATTTGCTACTTGAAGGATATCCGGGTTCGCAGGTATCGCGTTCGTTGTTTTTGTAATCTGAAAAATGTTTTCAATAATGACAGTACTTTTAGCGCGCGTTAATTGGATGAAATTTATTTAATTTTCGTTACGTTGGATTTTAGGTAATTGAACAATTGAACGAGAAAATTATCTTCTCCGACGAACTTACTGACAAACAAAAAGCGATTATTGGCGATGTACTTGGGGTAAGTATTTTTTTTTACTTTTTTTACATATACGCCAAAAGAACAATGTAAACTGAATGTAACTGAGGAAAATTTTCCTCTTTAGAAATGTGATTTCAGATTAACAGAAGGAAGCGACGAGTATCTGCAGCTTCTAAACTTGTTTTCTACTATCTTGATGGCGTTGAAGTCTTAAAGAAACTTCACTCGCCTCAGTGTTGTATTTATATTTGTAGATTTACAGTATGAATAATATAAGGATTTTATATATTTTCGTGAAATCAGGATAACCGAGACTGTAATTGGTCAGTTCAGTGAGGCACATAAGAAGTGACCAATCGTAGAAGACTAGTCACTGCTACGACTGAGACTTGCATTGTAGACCCCACATCACGGTAGTATTGATTTATTTATTAACTTTTTAAGTTCTTACTAGACAACACAAGCGCGCGCTTTGCGCGCGTCATTTGCTCTATCTAAAAATTGGCATGGTTTGACAGCTGCAAATAACACGACTGAAGCATGTCGTATCGCACAAGCGAGACAGCCAATCGGCATCTCGGAGAAGCGACAATACTTCGAGACTTTCGACTATCGACTTAACACTTTTTTTTACATAGGAGAATACAGGATAGAATATAAAAATGAAGAATATTAAGATATTAACAAATATTAAAAAATTCTGTTTCGAGGAAAATAATTCTAAGACTCGATCATAAATTTTTTTCCTTGCACATGAACTCATAAAAAGTGAAAATTTTCATTGACAAGTATTGCATTTATAAATTTTTTAAACAAGTTTACGCTAGAGGAAAAGGTTCGTGATCGAGTCCCTACCGTGCTAGGCAAAAATTTGCAACTAGGGAATCAAAGTTAACTGAAAAGTAACCAGCGCGTCTAGTCTCTTCGTCTAGGGACACGCGTATATTCCTAGACGCGCAGCGCCGCTAGGCACTTCACGACGACCAACGTGACGAGCGCGCGCCCGAAATATCCCTGCGCGCGTCGTTTCTCCAGTCTCGCGGGAAAAAAACGTTAAATAAACAATCGAAGCGGCGGATTCGAACGACAATAAAATTTCGCAAGACCGTCGGACGCGCGCGTAAGAAAGTGCGGTCGATCGCGCGCGCAAAAGTGACTCCGGCGTCGGCGGAAACGGGGCTCTCAGCGTCCCGGCGCCGCGGGCGGCGGACGCCGCTCGCTGAGCGCCACTGACGCTCGGCGTGTAGGGGCGTCGTTGCTACTGCGTGCAATGTGTATCGTGTAGGCGTTGGCGAGGAAGGAGGCGAGAGCCGCGAGACCGCCGCTCGCTCGCTCGCCCGCACTCTCGGGGTACGTGTCGTCCGTGTGAGGTGAAGAAAGCAGGGGACAACGCGCGCCCGTGCACGGCAGCCCCGGTGCCGCGTTGGACCGCACGTGCGTCGCGCCGAGGGAAGATCCTCCGCGTAGCCGCGGACCCCCGAGAGAAACGGCTCTAACGCCTCTCTCTCCACCCTCCGCCCCGCTGCCCGTCTTGGCGCGCTCCGTGTGCCTCTAGAGCCCTCGTCCGTCCTCGGCGCGGGGGCCCCAGGTCTCCCTCCGCGTGTCTCCGCCGACGGAACGCGGGTGCCTCGGGTGATTATTGTTACTCCGCGAGTGGTGGTTCGGGGGAAGGTCGCCGCCAACGCCTCCCCCCCTCGTGCGAACGGCGTTCCCGTGGTCGCCGTCGCGTCGCGAAAGAAAGGGGAACGGACGGGACGGAAGGCACGGGGGCGTCGACGACGTCCGTCCTCGCCGCCGCCGCCGCCGCCGCAGCAGCAGCAGCATCGTCCTTCGGCCACGTCGTTTCGGAGTAACGACGTTTCGGAGTCGCGCACGTCGCTCTCCTCGCGATATCTCCCTCTCTCTCTCCCTCGCTCTCGCTGGCGTAGAGGTCGTGACTTCCGGAGAGAAAGGAGAGAAAGAGAGAGAGACAGAGTAGGAGAGAGCGAGTACGAGTGCTCTCGCGAGAACGGAGCACCGCGAGAAAGGCGTGCTGACCGCGTTCCTCGCCGCGCGGCGAGCGGGACTACAGGAGCAGCAGCAGCAGGACGGTTCTCTCTTCGCGATCCTCGTGACACTCGCCGACGGGTTACCCGACTCGTCCCCCCGGAGCGTGGGTCCATTAGCCGACGACGTCGTCTCGCCGTCCCTTCGCCGCGGAGGTCCATTTTATCTCGGAGTCCCGCGGGGACCGAAAGAAGGGAACGCCTGAGAGCGAGCGAGAGAGACCGGGGCCGGCGGGAAGACGCGGCATGTTTCCGTCGAAGGGACGCTGAAGGGTCTCCCGCAAGAAGAAGAAGAAGAAGAGGAGGAGGAGGAAGAGAAGGAGGAAGACGCACGCAGCATCCTGCGATGTTCGGCGCTCCGAGGGGAGATCCGACGACCGGCGAAGCGGGCGGCTAGTTGCGGTGCATGCCTCGGCGCGGCGGCGCCTCGTCTCGCCGCATCCTGCGCTTCTCCCGGCCGAGCGCGAACGGACGGTCCTGACGGTCGTCGTGTGCCGCCTCTGCGAAGGTGAGATAGAAGGAGCGATTAACCTCGACGGAGACGCATCCCGGAGGACCCGAAGCGGCGACACAGCCGGTGGCCTCACTCCACGTGCGCACCGACGTCCTGAGGAAGCGCGCGCGCGCCGGCCGCGCTCCGATCGAATCGTCCCCGCCTCCCGCCCGAGACCGTCGGACTCGCGTTTCGCCGGCTCCCCGCGCGCCCCCCCCCCCTCCCCTGCCGGTCGTCGGACACGCACGCACCGCGTCCCCGGCCGGACAAAGGCGTGGATGATAGCGACGCGCGGGGCCCACCGCACCACCACACGAGGCAGCGCCGACGAGGAGGAGGCAGCCACGAGGCGGCGGATCGTGTTTCCTGCGGCGGTAACGGGTGTCGCGCCGGCTGATACGTGGAATGTGACGGGAGACGTCCTCGCGCGCGGAGCCAGCGAGTCGTAGAAAAGGTAAGGCGCCCCCTCGTCCCCGCTGCGCGACCGCTCCGGTTCCGGGGGTCGCACCCGCGGTTACGCGCTCGTGTATTCCCTTTGATGACGAGCGGAGCGCGTGGAGCGACCGGCCGGCCTCCCTCGGTATCGAGCCACGCGGCCGCGTTCTCCGTTTAATAATGAGCGTCCTCGAGGACCTCGGGTCTCCTAGCCGACGTCGCGCGATCTTTAATTCAACGGAATCTTAATTACGCTCTTGGAGAAGAGACCTCGGGCCCGACGACGACGACGGGGAGGATCAATGTGTTCGCGCGGACGTTTAATGTTGCGCCTCTGGACCGCGCGGAACGTTGGTCGACGGAGCTTCTCCGCTCGGATTCGGCTGCGACGTGGGTAGTTTTGCTCTCCCGTCGAAATTGCGACGGAAACTCGTCTTAATCGCCGGCGACGTCCTTTAAGAACGTCCTCGAGTCTTACATCTTTTAAACGCGTTAGAATCCTCTTAGACCCCCGGTCCCCGCGAATTCTTGCATATTTAAAATCTTAAATCCTCTTCGCATCTCTCCCTCTCTCTCTCTCTCTCGCTCTCTTCTCCATCCTCGCGGATATTCGAGTCTCCGAACGCTTCGATCACTCTGGCCTTTGAGTCCTCCCAAATTAAATAAGGATCCATCGTGCAACGTTAAACCCGGAGCTGAGACACATGCGCTCCCCTCCCTCCCGTCCGCCCCGCCTCTCTCTCCGTCGGCGTTTCGCCCGCGACCGGCCGGCCTGGATATCCCCCTTTCCAGTTATAAAACTGGAGCGTACGAGCGTTTCGAAAATAGTGCCCGTACTCGTCGATTGATTATTCACGTGGATTTCACGCGGCCGCGACCCCCCGCGGCGCGGCGCGCCGCGCCACGCCGCGCCGCGCCTCGTGTCGGCTCCCATGAATGATCTCGGCGTTATTTGGCATTTGTCCGTTTGCGAATCCGCGGCCAATCGCGGCGGGCGGCCGACCCGGTTGATTGTGTTACGCCGCGCGGCGACGCTATTCGGGGCTCCCCGCGATCGACTCTCCGCGGGGCCGCGGGGAAGGGACAGGTCTTTGAACTCCCCGCGTTATCATTCTCGAATTAGATCTACGCCGGCGTTATGCGCAGACGAATAATCGAATGCCGGGGCCGAGCGGAGTTTCGGATTTTCAAAGGGGGTAAATTACGATCGCGCCGTTTCGCCGCGCGGACGGACGGACGGCACACGCACGTGCGGCCGCGGGCTCGGGGATTAATAACCGGCGAATGTTGTGGGGGATAAAGGAAAGAACGCGTATGAATAAAGCACGCGGGGTCTATTTACGTTTTTGTCCGGGAAAGGGGATTCTGCGATACGCCGGCAGGAACGGAGGAACCGACGGTTTTAATCGAATATTTTTAAACAGGTCTATATCAGCGCTTTCGCGACGGAGTAAAGGGAACCTCGAAAGGTTTCGTTTGCTCGCGCCGTTTGTTCCCGGCGGCGGGACATTATATGGAATAAAAATTCAATACGGTGATAACGGGGCGGAGTGAGAAAGCGCCAATTCGTCGGAACGCTTCGTAACTCGCGGAAAATGTATTTCGGACAAAATGAAATTCGATGATTTCTAAAATAACTCCTGGCTTATACGTCCTCGTGTGTCAACGTAGTCGATTAATCGAGCGACAGTAAAATTCGCGCACAAATCACGCGTTCCGCCCAACGAGGGGTAAACTGACCGAAATCACGTACACCAATGCCTGCCGAGGCCCAGTGGACATTACTTTGTCTTATTTTGCCTTGTACACTTAATTTTACATCACGAGACACGGTAGCGCCAAGTATAAGCACAGAACCGCGCGCGCGCGAGACCGACCGTGTAGATTACGCGAGTTGATTCAAATTTAAAAAAAAAAAGGTAAAAAAAGACGCCAAATATAAGCGCCATCCAATCGAGAATTATACAATTTAATTATTTGGATATATTTTATTAGAAGAAAAAAAACATTTTTATCCTCTCTACAAAAGTAATGATATCATCAAATTGCGCCAACTAAAATGGATATTTATACAAACTAGATACTTAATTATTTTAAAACGTTATCTCCAAACAATCGAGCGTAAGATTTTACCGAAGGAAATCAAGGAGACGATAACGTTAGTGAGATAAATTTTTAATACTTACTCAATAAAAATATAATGCAAACAACTTCAATACAAATGAACATTTTGTTAAAAGATGGCCTTTTCTAATTTAATTGTTGAATACATATCGGTCCTGATTCACGACATTATTGTTTATTTTAAAAATTCA